ATCATACAGTCACACTAATTTTTATTCGTACAGTACAAGATAGCGTTTTCGTACAGTACAGTTTATATGTATACTCAATTAATGAGTTCATAATAAAACTTATATGATCAAAGTGATATATTAAGAATGAAATTTAAAGATTTACAAAATTTCTTTAAAATTCAAACGATTGTTATATTTTCAATTTTTGTTAAAAAATTATAAGACTTTTACAGTAGATGCACTTAATTTTAAGCTTTAATATTAATTAGTTTAAGTTTTATTGGTTTATTAATAAAAAATCAAGTTTTATATGTGAATACTATTGGTAATTATTTTTGAATTTTGTAGCAAAATCCGTGTCGATCATTTTTAAAAAAATTAGAAAAAAATCTGAAAATAATTACCAATCGTAACAACATATAAAACTTCTTTATCTATTAATATAACAATAAGAATAATGCTAAGCACAGTTAAAGTTTAATAAATGGAGCATCTACTGTGAAAGTTTTAGATATTTAAATTGAGAATTGAGTTTAATATTAACAGTTGAATATCAGACGTTTTAAAATTATACTCTGAAATTTAATCGTGTATTATTCATTCAATTCTCAATATATAGGGCTGAAATTTTACAAAAGATGCTGACTTCGTACCACTTTTATTGTTAAATTTATAAATAATTAAGTTTTTTAAGGTATAAACGATCGATAATTATTTTCAGATTTTTTTTTTTTAAAATTTTTTATTAAATTTCGGTCGTTTTTATTCACGTCTAATTAAAGTTAAAATTTTCATTAGATACTGCGAAAAAGGCCAATAATTAAATTTGTAGATATCGTTTTTGGCTACAATTTGATATAAGATAGTTTGTATTTATCTTTAATATCTATCGAATTTGGTACGGGTAACGTTAAAAGATTAATTTTTTTTATTTTTTTGTCAATTTAATTTGAAGCTAATTTATCTATACATAGACGTTCAATTTTATCACAAAATAACCTTGGTTTAGAGGAATCATTTTGCCACAATTAGCATTTTAATTTTAGTAATTTTTTTAAAAAGGGTCAATACTTTTGGCAGGGGAGTGTACCACAATTAGCATTTTAATTTTAGCAATTATCATTCCACAAATACTTTTTCTAGAGGTTAGGGGAATGTATATCATGTGTAAATTTACACTTTATTATATTAATAAATTTTATCGGGCAGACTCTGCTGAAAAAAAATAATAATATATTTGCTGTAATTAAAATAAGGATCAAAAGTAACTAAACAACTAAATATAACGAAAATGATTGTCGCAACATCGCCATTTATGAAGTCATAATAAAAAGTTCTTTACAACGACATAATCATCTTAAACTTAATACATAATGAATTTTCAACTTATCTTGATTTTCATCTTTTCGATTCTCATCGTTACCAAAAAAAATAAATTGATTGTAGAAGTTTCATGGGAAGGAATTGATGCAGAAGAAAAGTATGATAAGAGTGGTATAATAAGTTAAACAAGTCAAACAAGCCAAACATTTCTTTAGGAAATAATTTACTGAGTATTCTTAAAAAAAAAGAAAAGTCGTGACCAAACTTAGGTGTTTTAGTAAGGCTGTGACCGTCACAAACTCTCAGGTAAATTACCATATTTCCATTTTTTTTAAAAAAAAGTTAAAGTTCACAAAAACTGTTATTAATTTTATTAAAAAAAATTTGGTTTCTAGAATCATGTATATGGTGATGGTAACGAATTAATCGTCAAATGAAAAAGGACATAACGTAAAGTGTACATAGATCAGGATTACTTATCATTATTGGTTGGAAAGTCTGGTTTTCTTTTCGAACTTGACCAACTTTTTTATCACATTAATTAGTATCGCAAAAACTTTATACTGATATTGATACAATAAATTTTTTTACAATAATTCTTATCCCAAGTCAAAATAATAATTATGGTTAGGTAATAAAATTTCCATGTTAAAAAACTTTTAAAAATATAAAAGATCATAAAAATTATAAAAAATTATAAATAAAAAATTTTTTATTTTTTCTTTTGCGTTATATTAAAATAATAACTTTGTAAAATTTCATGATTGTTACCAATCAGATTAAAAAAATAATCATAACCTCTTGAAGTATCAGGTACGATGAAAGGTTCCGAACATCCAATCGATGCTTTACGATTAATTGGAATGGTTTGAATAAGTTGTACATCAGATCCAAATCCTTTGTAAAGATTAGCTGATATTATGTCGGTAATTTTAGGATTGGAAGATGCATCCTATGGAGTACATAATTTTGTGGATGTGTTTTAGAATTGTCAGAATTGTTAAAAATTATTTGAATTGTGAGAATTGGGAGAGAAGAAAATAACACCAACCCACTGTATGACGTGATGTTCTCTAACACAAAGAACAGCATTACTATGTGGTTCAATGACGCGAGCTGTGTGAGAAAAAAAGAGGAAAACATGATTAATGTATGAATCATATATTTAAAAATTATAAAAAAAATTATTTAATACGTTTTGTGTTATTACTTGGCATTTCTTATTAATTTTTAGATCAAAAAGAAAATGATTTGATTTTTTATTTTTTATAAGAAAAAAATTTTTAGATGCACAATAAAATGATTTCATGCTATATATATATACGCATATGTTGATAAAGTTTATTATTCTTTACAGTACAGTTTATAAAATAAATAAATATTGTTACTTTTAAAATTTAAATAATTTAATAGAAAATGTGAGAAAATTCGCAATAAATGTGACCAACTATAAATTACAAATAAATCAATTAATACGTATTAGTATTATTTTTTGAGTGTTAAGATTTTATAAAATATAATTTTCTCTTACAATATAAGAAACTAATTTATTTGATCATCATCTAAATAAATAAACATAAATTTGATATGAAAAATTGATACTTACTAGTATTTATGCAAATTATTAATTGTTTCAAGTTCTCTTTCAAAATTTGGTTCATTTACAGGTTCGGAAAGATTTGAAAAACCGAGACATGACATAAATTGTTTGTGGATGTATTTTGTATTGAGTTGTAATTGTTGTATCAGCTGATGTTTTTAATTTTAATTTAAAATTTTAATTAAAAATTTTAATTTCACATTACGCAAAATTAATAAAGCATTTACATTACACATTTTCAAAGCTAAATCATCGATCATGTGGCAAATAATATATTTATATTTAACCAAAAACGAGAACATTTTAACCAATATATAAATGGCATAACAATAATAAATACAAATAATCAATAACATATGTATATACTAATATATATAAATATAAATACAAGTTGAATTTCAACTGTTAATAATAATATTATTATTAATTTAAGTGTATAATTCCATGGGAGTGATTGCGTCGAATACAACAGATCCAGATAATTTTACTTTATTCATAAATTTCAATGGGAATCTAACCAAATGACCCTTGATTCCTTTCAATTTTGCTTCAGTTGCAGATAAATTTCCTCTGGCTGATTCACAAATATGACCAATTGGAATCTTTGCATGATCAGGAACAAAATTTTTATATTCGTCCCAATCCGTGACTAATTTGTGTATACGCGTGCGTTTGAGAGAAAATTTAAAATAAAAATTTGAGACGTAAGTATTTCTGTAATAGTATAATAAAGAGATTTGTAAAAAATATACCTTTATCATCAGGGACACATGCGAAGATTTCACTATAAATTTCAGTATTAGTTTTAGCAGTGTTTGTCCATAATTCGAAGAATTGATCGCTGACAGGGTTTTCGACAAACTTATCATTTTCGCAATGATAGTAAGGACCAGTGATACCAATTGGTGGGGGGTGGGTACCACTTTCATGATCACTTTCAAATTCTATACCAAGATGTTCTTTAAAGATTGCACGACGAAGTGATGTAGCAAATTTTCCAGCCTTTAATAATAATAATAATAATAATAATAATAATTAATAATAATAATAATAATAATAATAATAATAATAATTATAATAATAATAATGATTAATGAAAATAATAATTATTAATGAAAATTAATAATAATCATTAATTATGAATAAAAAAAGTTGTGAAGATACTAACTTTTCCACCAGGGAAACTAGAATCAATGAATTCTCTGTCTTCAATAATAGCAGCAATTTCAGAATCATGATCACCATTCTGTGACCTATCATTTAAATTGGCTAAATTATAAATTTTAAAATAAATATTTAATTTTAATATAAAAGTATCAAAAAAAAAATGTATCAAAAATAAATTATAATAAAAAAAAATACAAAACCAGATCCAATAATAACGATCCTATCGTCAGCAATCAAAAGTTTTGTATGAATATAAAGTTCTTCAGTAACAAAAGTTCCTGAAGGATCTAGGTTCATGATTGTCGTTGCCAACGCGGGATCAGAATCAGCCGCTTCCATTAAATTTGGAGCATTGGATTCTTCCATGAGTTTACCCAACGCATTATCGACGGATAAATAATCAATCCGATCGTGTGATCGAAGTCCATAGAAACTAATATATTTTTCTACTATTGCATCAAGTTTTTCTTCCTCATGTTTACCAATACCAGAACTTTCACATATGGCTTCTTTAATTTTTTCGATTATAGAATGTCCACCACGGCAGATTGAATTATATTGGTAATGTATAATGAGACTATAAAATAATTATTATAATTAATATTATGGGAGAGTAAGGTATACATTCAAATTAATAAATATAATATATTATTTACATACCGTAGTGTTGCAGCCCCCGATGTTTCTAGTTCGGCAGGGAAAGCTGGTAACAATGGCATAAGAACGAAAAGTCTGAAATTTTCTTTATTTTTGTATGCTTTGATGACTCGTTCAACTATCGCCTATGTAATCAAAAAATCATATTATTTATATTATTTATAAATAATAGATACTGATAGATGAAATTACCTTTCCGATAAGGTTTTTAATCGGATAATCATCACTTTCTTTAGTGGCAGTGACTAAAAAAATAAAGTTATTTATAATTAATATAACATAATATAATTAAATTTTATCTCAATTTAAAATTAATATTAATATTTCTTACTAAAGAATTGGTTCTCAATGTAGATAAAATGTTTAGCATTTGTAATTGTTTCAATATAAGCGTTTTTAATAGAATGCTTAATAACACGAGAGAAATAATGAGAGAAGTAACAAGAGAAATAACAAGAGAATGATTGTGAATGAATATTTGAATATTTATAAATTATGATATGTGTACATAAATATGTATAATAAATTACCTCTGTCTCAGCAAGACCAAGACTCCATGAAGCACTACTTCTCAAAATTTGAACATTACATGGACCGCGACTTGGATGAATTTGAAGCGATTTGCCTGAATAAGTAAACGATTTCATGTCTTCACAATTTTCACGTTCCCATTGAGCTTCAGATTTAGGAATCAATACCGGATATTTGAGTTTATTTTCTGCTTTATGTTTTTTGATAAAATTCCACCTTTGAATAAAGTGACGTCCCACGTCGCGTGCAGCTTTTCCGATTAAACCAATTGATACATCATGCCAAGGCATTCGAGCGGTCATCTTTTTATCAATGAGAGCAGATGACCAATTTTTAACATCAACAAAATCTTTAATTCTAGGATTAGAATAATCTTGTCCAGGCCATACAGATATTTTATGAGAAGTTTCAGAATAATCCGAGACTTGATGTTTTCCAGTATCGTAACGTCCAAAACATAAATCTAATCCACCAATAAAAGCTAAATGACGATCGATGACAATCATTTTCTAATACAAAAATTAAAGAATTCTAAAGATGAGATGAAAACTTTTTAAGATAAAATTTTTTTTTACTTTTTTTTAATGATAAAAAAAAAATAATTTACCTCATGATGCTAAATGTAAAAAAATATATAAATGCATATAATGTAATTGAAATAAATTAACATCAACTTTTAAAATAAATTAATTTAATGTATATTCTTATTCTTACCGCCCAAAATAAGGTTCCATCGATACCATGATCAGGATGTCTTAGTACTATAAATAACCGAAAAAAGATAAATAAGATTATAATTAAATAACAATAAAATTCAAAAAAAATAAAATTTACCGTGAATATTTTCGTGTAAAGCTTCTAAATGAGTTTGCGAGTGTTCGGAATTCAATGTAAGAACTTGAGGCACTTCTTTATAAAGCACAACATAAATCTTCACATTTTGTTCTGCCTTCTCTTTAAGAATTCTATCAAGACGAAATCGTTCGTTCTTTGAAGGAGGTCTTCGAAGATACTGATTATACATAATTACGTGTGTCTTTCACGTGATTCCATAATATCGCGGAAACTCGGGGAGAGAAATATAAAATTTAAACTTACCAATTCTGGTGAAAGCCACCAATCTTCGATATAAATTTCATGCTGTGCAGCCAAAAGAGCTTCGGAAACAGCATGAAAATAATTTTTACCATCAACATACCATTTTACATAAATTCCCTCTCTGACTGGAGAAAAAGATCCACGTGGATTTGGTGTTTCAACATTAGTTACTGGAGTTGCATTCTCAGAGAAAATATCTCTAATAAAATTCATTATTATATCTTAAACGCTTAAAATTTTCAATATTATTTTATGAACAAAAATAAATATTTTTTTTTTTTAAAAAAAAAAATGAATTTCGAACAAGAGAAAAATTAGATCGATGGTTTTATTATGAGATACAAACAAACTCAATTTTAGAACTTTTTTTTATCGTAATGTTACGCCATTATTAAATCTACTTTAGGTCATTATCTCTATGGTGGCGTTATATGTGCGATCTAATAAATACCATAAAGGCTAAAATAGTGTTATTTTTCATTGTAACACGTGTAAAGTTTAATGAAAGCCTATTTTTTTAATGAAAAAACCTTGATTTTAAAGTTATCACTTGTTTGCCATATAAATCATCATACATGATCTATCAACAAGTTTAAATATGTTACACGAGGACTCGTATCCGATTTATGAACATTGATTGAAAACAATAAATTTAATAAATTTGAAAGTAAAAAATGTCGGATGTATTTATTAGCCAGCAAAGCTACGGAAAAGATAATATTCGATTAATTAAAGTGTTTCGAAATAAAAATTGGCATGAAGTTGTGGAACTCACTGTAAGTATTATTTAATTTTCATAAAAATTGAAGATTGAAAATTAAAAAATTTATTTTATAGATTGATGTTCTTTTGGATGGAGACTTCACCGCGGCATATACTGAAGCCGATAATTCCAAAATTGTGGCAACCGATTCAATGAAAAACACAGTTTATATCCTTGCTAAACAATCTTCTAATGTTCAGAATATCGAATTATTTGCTACAGAGATTGGACGTCATTTTATCTTTACTTATTCTCATGTTTCTCAAGCCAATGTTTCGATTACTAAACATAAATGGACTAGAATGTTGGTTGATGGTAAATTTCATGATCATTCTTTTTATAGGGATGGTGAAGACACACATAATGCCAAAGTTATTGTTACAAGAATTAACAATAATGATGATGAAAATTCGATTAAAATTGAATCGATTGAATCAGGTTTAAAAAATTTATTAGTATTAAAAACAACTGGTTCAAAATTCTCTGGATTTATAAGAGATAAATGTAAGAGAAAATTTATAAATTTGAAAATATATATATATATATATAATAGAAATTACTTTAAATATATTAATTAAAGAAACTAAATTATAATTTATATAATATATATATTTTTCGTTAAATTATTAAGATACAACACTTCCAGAAACAAATGATCGTATTCTCTCAACTAGTATTGATGCTACTTGGACTTATAATATCATTTCTCCAAATGTAACATCATCAATTGAAAACATTATTAAATTTGAATTTGATAATATTTTTGAATCAATTCGATCAATTACTTTAAATACTTTTGCTACACATGATAGTGAATCTGTACAAGCTACTTTATATCTTATGGCTAATTCTGTATTAAAATCACATCCACAAATTGAATCAATTCGTTATGAATTACCAAATAAGCATAGTTTTGCTTATGATCTTGAAAGATTTGGATTAAAAAATGGCGAAAGTAGCGAAGGTAACGATGCTGATATTTTTGTACCTTTTGATAAACCAAATGGTAGGTTAAATATTTTGAAATTTTGAATTAAATTAAATTTATTTTAACCTTAACTTTTAATTATAACTTTTAATTATAACTTTTAATTATAACTTTTAATTATAACTTTTAATTATAACTTTTATTTTAACTTTTATTATAACTTTTATTATAACTTTTATTTTAACTTTAATTATAACTTTATTCTAACAGGAATAATCACCGCAACAATTTCAAGGAAAAAAGAATTATTGTAGATAAATTTAGTGAACAATAAATAAGTCCATATAAATAAATAAATAATTAATTAATTGAAATAAATAAATAATTAATTAATTAAAATAATTAAATAAAATAATTAAATAAATAAAAAATAATAAATCAAGCGAATCACAAATATTTTCTATGGTTGGTCTTTGCTCTGGATTGTCTTCCGAATAAATATTTGATGTAATCTTCAGGTGTCCCATTAATGGGCGCTTCTCTTTAAATAATAAATATTAAGAATCACGTATTGAACTTAAGTCATATTTTTTTAGTGCTTCAATAGCTTTAGGTTGACCTTTCAAAGCTGCCAATCTCAAATATTGTAATCCTTTCTTTGCATTCTTATCAATACCAATTCTTCCTTTTATATGAATATCAGCAATATTAAATAAAGCTGTAGGGTTACCACTATCAGCAGCTTTAACTAAATATTTAAGAAATTCTGAAAAATTATCTTTTGATACAGCAAACGCGTAACGAAGCTGAGCATCAGCAACACCCGCATCTGCTGCTGCTTTAAACAATTCTTTCGCTCTTTCAGGGTCTTTTTGTTTATAAAAACCTTCCCATAAATAATATCCCATCCAATATTTAGCTTTTGGATCATCAAGTTGAGCATGAATTTCAAAACATTCCCATGCTTTTTCATGTTCATTTCTTTTATGGGCTGCAATACCTTCATCAAGTGAAGGTATGGGTTTTAAAGATAATGATTGAACCAATAAATCATTATTTTCAGTATCATCGGGTTCTAAAAGTTTATATTCAATTTCGGGTTGTTCTTCAAAATCGGGACGGCTTTCCGAAAAGATTCGGAACAAGTCTTTAATCACTGGACGTTGAAGAGCGTCATGTTTCCAACCTTTTAAAGTTAAGTTAAAGAGCAAGTTAAAAGTTAAATAATAAAGAATGAAGGAAAGGTAAAAATTAATAATAAAAAGAAAGTAAAGAAAGAATTTAAAGTCATACAAGCTTCAATTACACCACGGAATATCATTATTATTTCTGATGAATCAGTAGAACTAAAGTCTAATTCTTCTCTTTTTCCAGCCAAAACATGTTCAGTAATCTCTTGCATTTGCATTGACTTGTATGGAAATTTTTGAAAGGCGAGCTCCCACAGTAACATTCCAAAACTTGAAAAAAGAAAAAAAAGAATTTAATTGTGTAAATAACAAAATATTTGATATTATTTAATAATATACCTAAAGATTTCACATTTAAATGTATATGGTTCCTTTATTGGACTATTGCCTTTAGGCATTTTTTCGGGGGCCAACCATCGAATTATACCAGCTAAATTCTGTATTCCGTGACTAATTTGTGCAATATCACGACTAAGGTAAAAGTTTGCAATTTTTGCTTCATAAATTGTGTCACCAGTTATCTATAATAATTTACAATATATATAAGTGAAATTCTTGTGGTTTAGCTTGATAGTAAACAATTAGGTAAGATAAAGAAGAAAGAAAGAAAGAAAGAAAGAAAGAATAGATCAACTAGACTAGGCGATATAATTACATACCAAAATGTTTTCACAACGTATATCATGATGATAAATATCACATGCTTGTAAAAATACTAGACCGTTACATATTTCGTGAGCTAATTTCAATTTGATTGTCCAATCTAAAAATTCTCTTGAATATACTTCTTTCAAATTTCCGTGTTCAGCCCAATCTAATATTATATGTTGACGACCATTAATAGTAGCAACTCCGTGAAATTTGATTATATTATTTGATGAATGTAATCGTTCTAGAATAGCTAATTGACCTTTAATCTTTCTGGCTTTTGAATTATCAGGTATTACAACAGGTTTACAAGCTACAGGAACTGCTTGTCTTAATATTTGTTTGTATATTTTTCCCCTTTCTACTTTTCTTCCAATTGTAGTTAAATCAGTTGGAAGTATTTGTGGTGCTGTCAGTAATTCGTCATTTTCACTTTTCTTGACCTTTTTTTGCATTTCTGATACTTCATCAAAAACTAAATCAAGTTTTATGCCATTTTCTTCATCTATTATAGTTGCTCCTTGTCCAATTGACTCTAAGAACTTTAGAAAAAAAAAAAAAAAAAAAAATTAAATGTTAAAATTTCAGTAGTAATGAAACTTTTTTTTATGAAACTGTTGAATATAAATACCTTTCGCATAGCAATAACATCCTCTTCAAGGTAAACATCTTCCTTTTCTCGATCTTCTTGAGAAATTACGATTATAAATTGTATACTACTGCAACAATCTTCAAATTCCTCTATGAGATCTTTACAACGATCTTTAATAGCAGAGCCATGTGCATACTTTCGTTGACCTTTAAGTTGAGAAACATCTTGAATAAATTCCTTAATTTCTTTTAATATTCTGACAAACCGAACGAAAGCATTATAATAGGATTGATCACGAAATTTCTCGTTCTCTTCCTTCTGTTTATTTAGTTTTTCAATAACATCTGAAATAGCATTAACACGCTTTACTAGAACTTTACAAGTTTTTTGGTTATACTGAGCATTTCTAAAAATTTTAGTGATTTCACCGATTATTTTCTTGGCAGCTTCTAGCCAAGGAACAAAGGGACCTGCTATTTCTCCTCCAATTGTTAATGCTAATGTACCGTTTATATCATTAGAACTAGCTACACTTTCAGAATCACTGGAGTCGTCATCGAAAGGAACAACAGGTGTAGTGGGTGTAATGGGTGTAATGGTTGTAGTGGGTGAAGTGGGTGAAGTGGATGGATAAGTATTATTAAGTTCATTTTTTATCGATGGAGAATCTTTTTTTTCTTTTTGTTTGTTTCTTTTTGGAGAACAGAAGCACATTTTTGTTTTAAAAGAAATGTAATTGTAATAATATAAAAAGAAGTTTTATTTTTTAAGCCAAAGGGATTACCGGAATTTCTGTTGTTTGTGACCGTCCCATTAGCTGTATCACCATTATTGAATTTAATACAAGTTTAGAAATGATATTCAGAACCTATCATTATTAGGATCGCCAACATAAGCAGACTCTTTTTTAGTGAGGTTTAGAAGAAGAGCTTGAGCAAAAACTCCGAATATAACCACAGGATCTACAAGTTTTGCTTCTGTGAAAATGCTCACGTGCCTTGTAGATTTAATTCATAGAAATTTCTCTCACGTAATATTTTTAAATTAATCTTCACGATGTAATTTATAATTAAAGTAATTAATATAATTATTATAATAATAATATAAATGTTAAATTGTATATAATATATTAATTAATTAATTAATTAATTAATTAATTAAATTTACCTATAACACTATAACACTTACGCTTGACCTGAATCTAGAACAATCACTCCTATTAAAAATTATCAAATAAAAAAAATTAATTCTATTAAAATTTTTAATTTCTATTTATTATTATTTAAAAAACATTTATATAGATAATATAATATAATAAAAAATAAATAAAAACCTTTTCCTGTGCTTCTGAAAAATAAAGGTTCTTGGTCCTTATTTCCAGTGGTTTAGGAATTACACAGGTAAAATTCTCCAAGACAATTCTATCATATCCAAGTTTTTCTGAAAGAAGGTTCTGTTGACTTTATTTTAGGAAGGAAGGAATATTCATTATGAGACCAAAGACCAATGTTGAGAATATATTACAATAGGATTCTTTTTAGAATGTAACTTCATTTTATATTTTTTTTTATTGGAAACAAAGTCGGAAGAATATCCTTTTAGTAGGTCATTCATAACTTCATTTTGTATATCATAAGCTGTTTCTATAACCCACTTAAGTTTTGTATCATTCTTAAAATTTAAATTCCATTTGACACCCTCTTTTTCAATTGCAGTAAGGCATTGATTGTACATCCATCGTGCTGTTCCTACCCATTTTCTAAGTTTCAGTTGCTCATTCTGAGTGGAATAAAGGTGGAGGCATTGTAATTTGCCTGCTAGAAGTTTCTTATCTTCTTTTGGAGCTCTTGAATCTTTTGGATGGTATCTTTTCTTCTTCTGGCAGCTAAACATAGTCCATTATGTCACATCACAAACACTGTGATGATTGTAGCTGTAAGTTCCCCAGTTTTGCTATTATTGGTACAAACATCTGAACTGAGAACCATTAATTATGTCCTCTTTTTTTCAAGGATTCATTCCACAAGTTTGAATCCAAAGTAGCACAAGTGATTTTTTCAGGTAACCATCACTTCTTTGATTCTTCTTGTGTGTATTTGTTCCAGAAGGGTGTTTTCAGTTGAGTCCTGAGCTGATATCACTGGTGACTCAAGTATAGCAGATCTTGGCCTTTTTGCATGGGTTGCTGGTCATTTCTGAAGGCTCTGTATGTATTTGCATTTGAGCAGGGTCATACATTATATGTCTCTCTAATTTTTCTTTCACTTAGGTAAGTAATCTTGTTTTGAGTCAAATTTATTGGTTTTTTGCTACAAATTTTTTTTTGTTTAAGAGTGTAATACAGTATTTTTTTTTTCTGCTAAAAGAATATGTTTTTTGTAAGAATGTAAGAGATATTTACTAAACATACTTTCCCTTATATTTATAAAAAAAAATGCAGAGATGCAGTATTAATTTCGCACCTTTTTCAAACATGTTCTGGATTTCTTTCTTGATAAAGTCTTGGTTACTGGGGTTACTGGGGGCAATTCTATAAGCTCATTGTTCAATAGGCGATGCATCCTTTGTTTTGTAATTGGTAATCGAAATCATTTTGTAAATTTTAAAATTAAGGAGAAAAGTATATTATTTTTTTTTTAAAAAAAAAAATGCATCCCGTCTTCCCGTCGCGAAACCCATGAACCCAATTCCAAAGGGACAAGGTAAGTGTTTTACTTAAAAGGAGAGAAAGGTAAATGAGGAGAAAAGATAAGTGTATTTTTGTTTTTGTTTTTTTTTTAAAAAAAAATACATTCACTTACGTCCGCGGTGTTAAAATCTTTTTTTAAATATTCCGCGTTTACCTTTGTTAAATAATAATACTATGTTGTTCGTTGCACTTAAAATTCTACTAAATAAGGTTGTGAATATTTATTTAATGAATATTTAACTGACAGCTTTGTACAAGTTTATTAAACGATGAATACACGAATCGATTATACGATTCATAAAATTTTAAAAAATGCAACTATTTTTTCGCAAAGGTTTAATACATATTTTGTAATTAATAAAAAGAGTTTTATTTGCATATTTTGTTGGCATTTAATAATTTTAAATTTATACAATTTAATAAATAATTTAATGAATAACTATAATAGATAATCTAAAACAAAATTTGACAGGGATATCAATGGTATTCGCAATATTCTTCTTCGATACCTTACTAAAAAAGAGTCAGTTAGGTTCGAAAGGGTGCTTGTTCTCTATCTAATTTAGATAATGATAGGTTATAATATAGGTGCTTATCTTCCACTTTTTCCTAATTCTGATGGTCAATAAGTCATGGCATGAGGGATGAAACTGATTATTTCATCACTCTTACAACTGAAAAAGAGAGTATTTAAAAAAAACCGATCAACTCTCGCATTTTCTAGATTACTTCACCTGTAAAGAATTATTTTAAACTATCAAATAATTATAAAAATAAAAATAATTATAATTATAAAAACAAAAATAACAATAATAACAAAAATGATAATAATTATAAAAATATTGGAAAACGAGGAGCTTGAGACAAATATTTTTCAAATCGTTTGATGTAAAAAGCTGACTGATGAAAAAAAAAATCTAGAATAACGATCGACCATTTTTTATGTCATTTCAATTAATTAGTTTAGCTATTATTATTTCTTTAGAAATTATAATAAAGCAAGAGAATTGGAACCCTTGAGCATATTAGTTTATAAACAAACTAATTTTTATATGATAAATCAAATTGCAATAAATTTATTTGGGATAATAAACAAACTTTTATTATATGATAGGTTCCAAAACAAAAAATTTACATGATTAAATAAAAGAAGAGCGTCAGATAATTGCATTAAAAGTTCGGAAAGGCCTTAGAAAAAAAAAAAGTATTTACAATATTCATATAATTGTTTCATTTTTTATATTTAAGAATTTCTTAAAATAATATATTTATTATTATTGGGCTTCAGATTTATAGAACTTAAAATAGTAAATCTAAAATTTAACCCTAATTATTCAATTAAGGTTATTACTTTAGGAGTACAGCAATATATATAGGAAATAAGTTAGTACAATGAACCGAATAAAAATAAGATAAATAAGAACAATAACTTCAAAATGGTAAAAATAGTAAATTTATTTTAATTTGAATTTGATATGCAGGGATGAAAAATTAGATAAACTATACAACTATGTTCTTGAGACGGTTACGTTCTTATTTAAAATATCAATATGCAGTACAATTACAGTTATTTGTTTTTATTTATGTTACCGTTCTACAAAGTTTACAATAAATATTAATATCACTGCGTATCGCGTCATCAGTGAACTAACGATAATTACACGAAATTTTTTTACAATTTTTTATTTTGTTGTTTCATTTAAACAAATTAACTACTGATAATAATGGTAATGATAATATAATAAACAATGGTAGTGATAATTTAAATTTAATAATAATTGTTTTTCTACGATATGAGAAATTGTTCAAAAAGTATAATAAAGTGAAATAAAAGTTTTGATTTCAAGACTACTATAAAATTTTATATTTTTTTATCTATAATAGTAATAATAATACTAAATTGTATAATTGTAAAATGTGAAAATATGAATATATGCGAAATGAAAATGAAATAAATAAAGAAATAACAAATCAATATTTTGTAATTTATCTACATTATCGCAACACTTGTATCATTTTGTTGATGAATTGTTTCTTCCTTGACAATTCTAGTATCCCCAGTTTTTGTATTAACAGCAACAAGTCTATCTATATGGTAATAAGCTAATTCGCCTAATTCAGTTTCATCAAGACCTTTAGCTTCAGATTCTGGATCAATACGAAGGGAAAGTCCAGGAATTTTATCCATAATGAGAAGAATTATTAAAGTTACAAAGAAGGAATATGCTAATCCAGCAACGGAATCAGCAAGTTGATAACCAAATTGAATCCAATTCCCTTCTAACCAACCTCCTTCTATACCAGTTGTTCCATCAAGACCGATAATTGATTTTTGAGCAAAAATACCAGTAAGAAGATTTCCTACGATACCACCAACTCCATGTACAGCAAATACATCCACTGCATCATCAAAATCAAAGACATGTTTTAATTTAACGGCAAAATTACAACATAAAGCACCACAGAAACCAAAAGCTACCGCGGCAGGGGTACCAACAAAACCGGATCCGGGGGTAATAGCAACTAAACCAGCAACTGCACCGGAACAAAAACCAAGAGTGGATAATTTTCTTTCTAATCTAAAATCAAGTAAAACCCAGGTAAGACCACCAACCGAAGCAGCTAAATTTGTTACTACACAAGCCATTCCAGCTCGAGCATTAGCAGCAGTAGCGGAGCCACCATTAAAACCAAACCAACCAAACCAAAGTAAAGCAGTTCCCAAAACGGTATTTGCAACATTATGTGGTTTAAATTCATCAGTACCATGACCGTGACGTTTTCCGAGTACAAGACAATAAGCCAAAGCAGCAGCGCCAGAAGAAATATGAACAGGAGTACCACCAGCGAAATCAAGGCCACCTAATTTATATGACCAACCGTTTACATTCCAGGTCCAACAAGCAATTGGATCATATACAACAGTAGTCCAAATAAAGATAAAGACAACAGCTGGTAAAATACGACCTCTTTCAGCGGCGGCACCAATAGCTAAAGCAGGTGTAATCGCAGCAAACATACATTGATAGATGGCGAAGACAATAACAGGTACCGTTACAGAAGCCATTGGTTCATCGAGTTCTGACAATGGTGTAGCATCAACACCTCTGAAAAATGCATATTTAAAATCCCCAATGTATTTATTGCCGGATGGAGAAAATGCTAGACTGAATCCAAATAACCACCACTAAAAATAATAAATAATTTTAATTAAATAAGAGATAATTGAGAGGGTGAGTAAGGGTAAAGGAAAGAAAGAGGGAAGAAAGAGGGAAGAAAGAGGGAGGAGGGAGAAGAAGAAATAATTTACCTGAATAGAAACAACAGCGATAGACATGACGCTAAGCATAATAAGTGATAAGGCATTTTTACTTCTAGCCATACCACTATAGAAATAACCAACACCTGGAACCATAAGCCATACTAAGGCTGTAGAAGCCAAAAGCCAAGCAACATCCCCGCTAGGAACGGGTGTAGGTTCCTCCGTTGTAGTATCGTTCGAAGACATTTATTTTAAAAATTAAGTTTATCTAATAAATAATTGGATATTTTTATCTAATAAATAATTGGGATATTTTTTGAATATTAAATGGTTTTTTTTTCGGAGGGAGGCGAAATTCAGGAAAGGAGATAAAAAAAATAAACTTGGTTTATATACAAAATTCTTTGAAGTAAAAAAAAAAGTTTCAGACGTAAAATAAAATAAAATTATTATTATTTATCGTGAATACAGTAATAAACAACAACAAGCATGCAATTGATGATACTGTAAACGAAGTAACGGAAGTTATAATACAAAAAATAAATAAATGATATTATTGTTCATTAATTTTCTACACTGAGTAGTGGAAATCGAAGAAGAGAAGATTTAAGTCTTTTTATATTTAAATTTCTGTATAAATGAGTTAGTATTAATTGATCAATTTTTGGTTTACGTTGTGTATTTGATAAAAATAAATAAATAGTAAGAATTATATTATTAAACAATATAAAAAAATTTTTTTTTAAAATTTATTTATATTTATTTAGGTTATTTTCCTATTTATGTTATTTATGTTATTTATGTTATTTATGTTATTTATGTCACAGTGAGTGTGTAATCCATACATGCATAAAAAAAGTCTATCTAGATTATCTGAAATGGTAAGTGTAAAGAAAATGAAGTGATAAATATAAATTATGTAAATGCTTCTCGCTGGGAAATACCGAAACGATGATAAGATTCACAATCCAGTTACACGTGAATAATTTTTCACTCTTTCATTTAATATTTCTTGCGGTACTGGGTAATATATCTTTTTTCTTGAGGTACTTTGAGGTACCGACATTAATTCATTTAATTCATTTAATTCATTTACTTTATCTAATAAATTTTATTTGTTTGGTTAACGAGGTTAACGAATCTTAGATTAAACAATCAACAAAGTAAATTTCCAAAAAAAAACCATATCATGTGTGACGTATAATTTCTTCGTTTAGTCAAATTTAATCATTATCATATAAATCAATATAAATATAATATAAATATAACAGATAATGTATTACACATATATAGTTAAAATACATTTATTTATTGGTTATGATTTTCACAACAATAAATTACCTTAATAGGTTTATCGCAAGAGAATTCTTATGAACAAAAACCAATGGGAATTCTATCATACAATATTAATAATAATTATTAATTAACAATTAAAAGTCACAAGAACTCGAATACAGTAAAGATTTTTTTTATATTCCCACACTATATGTCGATCTGTAACCCAGGAAAAAATACTTGTATATGCAAGATAAGGCGTATGTGCGACTATATCTTAGTGTTAATATTGTAGCTTATTTTTAAAAAAGTAGGTTATTAATAATTAATTAAAATAATTGTATGCTCTAAATTTCTAATATTATTATTATAATTTCTAAAGAAAGAAAAAAATAATGTCACACGTGCGTGATATATATATTTATATGCAATTATATGTTATTATGGTAACTATTTGTAAAGATTAAATTAAAATTTAATTTGTTTTTATCATGAAACAAAATAAAAAATCTTTTGATTTTGATTAAAGAACCTGGCAAAATGAAGAATGAAGATTAATAAATATTACTAACTTTAAATAGAAAATGGCAATGATTCCGCATTAAGAAATTTAATAAATTTGAATATTTTAATAAGAAAAATTTACGCGAATAAAACATTCATAAAACCATTATCTCACAACATAAATTGAGAAAAACAATATGTATTGTATCAACCATTCAGTTCAGCACGATTAACAATGATTTTGAAAAATGAACAAGTGGGAATAATATGATAGATAAATTTATTTAGAATATTCTAATCGAATGAATAACGAAATGTGGTTTCCGTACTATTTGTTATGCTACGTGGTTTTGAAGGACCAATCGATGAATTAGATTTTGAAAAGAAACAACTGGTAAGAGATAGTCAATGTAAAGTGGTATTAAATTCGATGGTTGCAGGCATAAATGAAAAATACTTTAACGAGCTAAAGTATTTTTTTTTTTTGAATAATATACAAGATTGTTTGTAAAAATATAATTTTTTAATAATGGTAATATTAGATTATTTTAATTAGATTATTTTAATTTAATGACATAGAATTTTTATATTTAATAATTAATTTTAAACATTCATTAAATTCTTTATTCTATCAAACGATTTTAACCTAAATCACATGTTTCAGGTTTCAAGTTAAATAATTTGGAGTATTACTCTATTTAGCTCAAAAATTTCTTTAAATAAATATTTTATATCATTGTTTTTTATATTAATATATTTATAAATAGTATTAATAAACAATTTAATATGCATGTCAATAAAGTTTAAAGTTTAAAGTTTAAGATTATATTGCGAAAATGGGTCTTTTTTTTTTTAAAGTGAATTGACTGTATTTATTTATTTATCTGTTTAATAAAGGAATTGAAATAAAAAAAAATTAAACAATTATTATTAACATCAATTTAAAAACTAAGTGAAAAAATTATCAAAATTGATTTAAACTAAGTGAAAGTGAAAATTCTAGATAATCTACTGTAAATAAATAATAAATAATTACTTTATGTAGCAAAGATTCCTGACAATCAATTTCACCCGAGCGCATATCAAACATTCGTAAAATTTTTACTTCACATTCTATAATTGAGCGAACAAAATGTGAGGGATGTAATCAAGAAAAAAAAAACAACTGGAATTTATGTCAAACCATGCAATTCAACACATTTCAAAAAATAATTTTGATAAATGGATAAGTGGAAATGACACGATAGATAAATTATTCAGGATGCTCAACTAAATGCGGAACGAGATGAAAAAGCAATATAATGAATACCTTATAATAGATTTCAAAATATTAAACAAATAACAAAAGGAAGTTTTGTATCATATATTATACATAATGGAATTTCTCAAATGGAATATTAAAACCAACAATGGAAAAGAAATCAATTCAAAGTTGTAGTAAAAAAAATGAAGATTTTTTAAATGAGGTAATATTATTTCAAAATTAATGTGTAAATTTGGTGCATATATAATTTATTAATTATCATTTTAATAAATTATTTTTAGATGGAGATTCACTTTTATAGAACTATTTGAAGAGGTGGATAAATATTTAAATGATTATAAAGAATTGATAATATTAATAGTAATGAAATTACAATTCAAATCAAAAAGCTGGAATTTTCAGCAAATCTGTCACAACAACTACAATTTCATTTAATTATAAAACACAAGCAAATAGACTTCTTAATTATCAGATCTCCCAGAACTGTTAAATGATTCAAATTTTGAAAATGAATTTGTGAATTATATATTATATAAGTAATGCTAATCTTAACCAGGGGAAATTCCCTGGGTGATATATGTATAATATGTGACAAATAGTATTTCAACACCCAATAAAAATTGAAATGTAACTGTCCTACCGATCAGCATGAACGTAAAGTGAAGTTTTTTCATATTATATTATATTTATTTTTCTGAATTGATTTTTGAATATTTACTTTTTCTTTTGATTACTTGAATATATATTGTATGAATTCAGTTGTGGGTCAAGAGAAAATTTAGTAAAGTTTACATTTTATTTAAAACCAACATTAACTTAATTCTGCCACTGGTTAAATGTAGTTTTTTTCTTATTTAAATTTAAACATTTAGGTAATTGATTAATTAATATGACGACTAAAAATTTAATTTTTTTAACTTATCAAATCATCAGAATTATCAAATAATTTAAAGATAATAAAGATAATCGAAAAATCTTATCGTTATACATATAATTTATGCGATACATTTATTAATTGACATTTAATTCAACATGCAATAATTTAAAAAGTCGGATGGAATTCGAACAAAGAAATTCCCAAACGGTTAAAATCTCATCTCTTATTTTTACGTCAAAACAAGTAATTTTATGAATTGCGAATGAAAAATTCTCTGAGTTAAGATCAATCCAAAGATGGAATAATATTCAATCTTTGATACAATATACATACGCGTGGTTATTGTAACATGTAAACAATTCGGTATTCAACGGATTACTCCGCACTTTGATAACGAAAATATCCAAATTATACATTATCTAGCGTTGCTTACAAATAGTTATTTCATTTACCACGTGGGGTAAAGTGATACTTTATAAAACATTTGATGCATTTAGGTTATAATGTATACTGACAATATTAACACAATTTTTTTTTTTTAACTTTTCTTAAAACAATTTATCAGAATATGAAATATGCTTAATTCATCCAAAATAATTCACTAAAAAAAGAATTCATTAAAAAAATTAAAAAATTAAAAAAGGAAATTTCTTTATCTACGAAGTTATTTTAATATTTAAGGTTTTTGCGAGCGAACACCACATTTCTAAGTTTAAAATTTTATTTTCTCACATCTTAACTATAATTGGCATGTCGAATGATTCTCTGAAATCTCCTGACCTTAAAAGCGAAATCATCATAAAGAACTTTTGTATATGAAAACTTCGTATTGTATAATGAATTTTTGTTTAACGAGAAATTAAACTTTATATAAAATTTTATCATTTATTCCATATCTTTGATAGAGAAATTTTCTTCGGATGCAAGTTTTGTAAAACATTATTAACAATATGTAAAATTTTTAGTTTACTTTTTATGGCAAATAACTTGTTCAACGTAAAGTTTGTTATCAGTTATTTTTAATTGGTCAACTTTATCATCTTCGGTTACATATGATACAGAAAAAACGTCTTACCATCTTTGTTAAAAAATCGGGTTCTTCCCCACAATGTATTATTTACTATTTCATTTATTTATTTATTTTCTTACGTTGGGAAAATCGAAAAAAAAAATATTTATAATAAAAGATTGTGTGTATGTGTCACTTAATACGAAAAATATTCAGTTGTACCTTTATTTAATCAAATATTTCAGGGTGAAACCTTGATGAGTTATACAGTCGACCCCTCTGTATAAGAACTCCCTCTTATAATCACATAGTTCTTGGTCCATATATATAAGAGACCATATTAAAATTCCCTTGATATAAGAACTCCCTCTTTAGTCACACCATTTGTTGGTTCAGAGGGATGTGCTTGTAGAGGGGGGAGGGGTTGACTGTATTGATTAATTTTATCACCAAGATCTTGGACCAATTGATGTTACCAAAATTATTATTTTTAAGATTAGCTAAAACCATCCTATTTTTGGTACCATAAAGTTGAATTTAACGAAGTGTACACATTGTTCTCGAGCGAGTTTACCATCTAAAATAAAAATTATAGTTAGTAAATTATAAATTTTCAGACAAATTATGTGTATCAAAAAAAATACTTTACCTTATTTCATTTTATATCTGCAATTTTTAATTCATTCTCAATCGCACTTCCATTTTTCCCATTGTTGATCTTCAATATTCCATTTCTTTGTTGATCTATTAATAATAAAATAAATAGTATCAAAACCATCTCTTGTTAATGATCTAATATTTTGAAATGTTTCATAAGATACCATCTCAATTTAATCGAGCATTTTGAATAAATTTACCTATTATGTCATTAACACTTGTCCATTTTTACTAAAATCATTTTTGATATGTGCACGGTTGGCACATTTAAAATATTATCTGTTATATATATAATTGATACTTACTAGTATTTATACAAGAAAATAAATTCTTCAAGCTAGTTCTATTTCAAAATTTCGAATCATTTACAGTTCTAGATGTAAATGGAGTTGGTTGTAGTTGTTGCATTGGTTGAGACTAACCTTTTTTTTTTTATTTGAATTGTAATTTCTTTATTGTTTCAAATGATCATTTTTCTATATAATCATTATAATAACTATTAAACTCTTCATATAATTTTTCAAAGTGGGTCAATTAGTAAATGAGTAACTCAAGCAAATTATTCTTGTAATTAATTTTGGTCGTAATCTGATAAAGCCAGGTTATCATCATGTGGAAAATTAAGCGGTAACTATTTCATAAGCTACAATTCCTTTGTAATACTCTTGAGCTACATATGATAATACACCAATATTATCAAAATCTGATGCACTTAAATCTCTATATTTCAGATTGAATTTCTAATGCTTTATTGATTTATTATACCAATTAAACCATCTCTTAAATAATTTCTTAAGATTTTCACCTGATCCTATTTTAAAACCATTAAATATTCCGTGAGTTTCTTGTCATTCCATAAAATTGGATTGAAAATTTCCATCTGAATAATGTATTTTTTGTATTTTTAAAATTATAATTCAAAATATATAAAATATATTAGATTTATTAAACAAATTTTATATTGATTATATTGATTGAAAAACCATATGTTACCTCGTTCAAAAAAATCGGTTCATCCATAAAGGTGTCCATTCTATTTACTTTTTCATCTCGTTCTACATTTAGTTAAGTATCTGAATAAATTTATTTATCTATCGTGTAGTGTCCTTTTCACTTTATCTCTTTTTCGTTTTGCTCGATGTACACGAAGTAATTCTATCCGTGTCAATTATTGTGTGACTACCTTAACGCATGGGTTAGGGTTAGGGTTTATCATGAGTAGGTTATTTATCATCTTGTATCACGCCCTTCGAATATCCAATATTTGTCACCTAAAATCTGTCACATGAATTAAACACGTGTAATCCTTATGATCACCTGTTAAATTATGGAACAATCAAATTCGAAGACAAAAATTCATAGGATAAGGGTCCTCTTTATGAGATTCCTATGTCACATGATTTCGTATGACAATTTATTAATTTATTCTGGTCGGGAATTAAAATGATAATTGTGCGAACGTTAAAGATATTAAAGATATTAAGATAAAAAAAAAGATATAGTAAAAAGAAGATATTGTAATCTATTATATATAGCATATATTTGTATATACTTGGAAAGACATGAATTACAATGAAGGATTCTCCGGACGAAGATGTAACGATCAACTTAAATATTAAAATCATAATATTTAATATTTTAATATTTATTAATATTAATATTAATATTAATATTATTATTTATTATTATTATTCACAATAATTTTATTTGTTTTATGTATAGCAAGGCGACAATCAACTTCTGATTTTATATGGAAGGATCCGGTAGACATAAGTGGTAAAGAGGAAGATCTAAAGTTAGGTTGGGAAGAAAGAGATCCTGAGGGGCAAGAAAAGATGGAGATGGAGAATGAATCAGAAAGATATGAAGTTGAAAGTGTGATGTCACGTAGGGTTGAAAATGTGAGTCACACGCGCATATATATATATATATATATATAATTTTTTTGTAATTATATTATTCAAAAGAATTAATTATTATTATTATTATTATTTTAGGGTAAAGAAAATTTTTTGATTAAATGGAAAGGATACACGAAACCAACGCAAGTTATAATTAGACATTATTATTATTATACATGATTATTCAAATATTTATTATTATTATTTATCAATTATTAATTAAATCAATTTCATTAAAATAAATTCATTAAATCAAATTCATTAAATCAAATTCATTGAATCAAATTCATTAAATAAAAATCATTAAATAAAATTCATTAGTTGGGAACCACGAGAAAATCTAGATGGTTGTGAACAATTATTAGAATCATTTTATAAAGTAGCCATGGATACCGATTTAGTAGAAGAAGAAAGAGAAGGAGAAGAAGGAGTAGAAGAAGAAGGAGGAGTAGAAGGAGTAGTAGAAGGAATTGTAGGAGGAGGAGGAGTAGTAGAAGGAGTAGTAGGAGGAGCAGAAGGAGTAGGGGAATTAGGAGAAGATGAATTTGGAAATTATAATAATGAAAAAGCGGAAAAAGCAGCATTTCGAAGTAAATTTTTAGCAGCACTTGAATTAAGTTTACATCTTGATACGGAACTTTATGATAAATTAATTCTTAAAAGAGGAATTAAAGATAGTAGTGATGTTGGCCCTAGATTGGAAACTGTTCCAGTCGCGATGATGCCTGTTAGCAGACAAAATAGTTATTCTTCTTCCAGAAGTTAGTATGTTATATAAATTTTTTTTATTCTTGGGGAAACCATTTCTAATCTTCTCACCCTTTTTATTTTATTTTATTTTTATTTTTCTCTTTCTCTTTAGAGTAATAAAAAAATCAGCACAAAATTTAGACAATTATTACATATTTTGTAAATAGAAACGAAAATCATAGGCATAACGTTATAATTATTATTATAATTGATAATGTTGTGTTACAATTTAAATTTTAAATAAATTAAAATTCAAACTTTAAACTTTAAAATATTTTTCATATATTATATATATTTTATTTTTATAATAGCTAATCATTTATATATTTATATAATCTATTTTATACATAATAAAATTCTTAATAGTTAATAATGATAATGATAAGATAATGATAATAATAATGATAATAATAATAATAATAAATAGATAACAATAATATTAAATACATTTACATACATATAAAAATTTTCATATAACATATACGTGTATTTATATATATATATATGTATATATATACTTTTGTGTATTGTTTCATATAGCAATAACAACAACGTCACGATCAATTGCAATTACATTTTCTTTCCCTTCCCTTTCTTCTTTTTCCATTACTTCTGTATATTCTTCAGGTTCATCATATGTTACACCATTTTCTATATTATTATTATTATTAAATGTAATTCCTAATTCTTTTTCTTCTTCACTAACTAAATTTATTCCTCTTTCCGTTATATTTGTTGTTGTTATTGGCGGATCTTCAATTGGAGGAGATGGTGGAGGTGGACCTATCTTACTTAAACAATTAGTTAAATCTATATTAAATTTTGTTACGTGACCTAATCCCGCTTTTACTTTACTATCTAATTGCCATTCATGTGAAAGATCTTTGGCCATTGCTGACATCTTTAGTGTTATCTATAAAATAATTTAAAATATTAAAATATTATATTAATTATAAATAAATAAATAAATAAATAAATAATAACATTAATAATAATTTAATTAATATACAAACAAATAGAATAAATAGAATAAATAAATAATTAATTAATTAACAATAATTAATAAATAATAAATAATTAATTAATTAAATAATTAATTAATTAAATAATTAATTAATTACTTACTTGAATCAATAAAACAGCATCCCTATAAATTTTATGTTGTATAGATGAGTCTTCTTTTGAAGATGATAATTTTGATACCAAAATAGTTTTCTTTAATCTTCTAGTCACTTCTGATACATCATCAACATGTGATCGTAAATCTTTCATCTTATTTATAGTAGTAGGAGAAGGTAGTGGTTGACGTAATGATTCATCATTTGGTGGTGATGATGATGATGATGATATTGGTATTGGTATTGATGGTGATGATGATGATGATGATGATGATGATGATGTTGATATTATTGAAGTTGATATTATTGATGTTGTTGTTGATGAAGCAATTAATGCTTTATCTAATTGTTCGGTTAAATATTTTATAACTATTTCTACTGCTTTAATTGAATTTTCTACTAATAATATAAGTTGTTCATATATTGCTGTCGGGATTAAAATATCCGAAAATGAATTATTAAAATTATTATTAATAATATTATTAATGTTAATATTAGAATTATTATTATTATTATTATTGAATATAAATGATGATGATGATGATAATGATGGTCCATTTGAATGTGATGGTGATGATGATGTCGTCGTTGTTGATGATGTCGTCGTTGTTGATGATGATGTCGTCGTCGTCGTCGTCGTCATTGTTGATGATGATGATGTAATTCCATTATTTGAACCACCATTCATATGATGATTACTACTATTACTATTAGAACGTGACATTGATCTAGAACGAAATGGAGCAACCAAACCAGTATAAGGAGTATAATCATTATTTAATAATGGAAATATATGATCCCAAGCAAATTTTATATCAGCAACTGCTCCGTGAAGGACTAAAAGAAGTGTACGAGAATATCTTATATTTTCTGATGATTGTGTTAAAGATTTAAGACGTTTGTTTAATGATTCCATAAGATTTTTAAAACATGAAACATTTTCCTGAACTGCTGTCAATAATTTAGCACAATGTTCTGCATCAGGTGCCGCTTGTAATGCGAATGTATCAAATCTTTGTAATGAAATACTTAATTGTCCTATTAATGCATTCGTCTTATTTAATTCTATTACAAAGATTTTTTCATTTCCTGTAAATATTACAAATTGTCTAAGTGCTTTATGAACTTGCGAAAATGCATATAAAATATTTCTACTGGCTTCTCTAAGTGCTGTATCACTCGTAGGAAGGTGCTCTATTGGTAAAAGTGTCTTCAATTTTTGAAAATAAAAATCTCCTGTTTTCTCTTCTAAAATTCTTGTAATAACATTTTCTCCATTTTCATATAAACTCATTCCTACACTTCCTACACTTCCCACAATTCCCACACCTCCAATATTTCCAATATCTTCAATACTTCCTATACTACTACTATTACTATGATGAGATCCTTGTGAACCTATAGAATCGTGAGAAAAACTTTTTGAATGTCGTCTAACAAATGATGATGATGATTTTGATTTGTGATGATCAAATTCATTACTATAACTTCGATCTCGACGTGGTAAATCTAAACTTAATTTAAGATTTTGTCGTTTTCTTTCTTGTTGTTGTTGTAAGAATTGTAAATGTTGTTGTTGTTTTATAATTCCATTATTATTATTATTGTTGTTGTTGTTGTTGTTATTATTGTCATTGTTATTGTTGTTATTGTTATTATTATCGTTATTGATATTATTGTTATTATTGTTATTATTATTTAAATTTTTATTGAAATTTTTATTATAATTATTAAGTTCATCTTCTGTAATAGTATTTAAAATATTATTGTTGGATCCTTCGGAAGTAACAACAATTGAATTATTAGAAATATTTGTTAATGAAAAGGATTTCTTTAATGGTTTAACTCGTGGACTGTGTTCTTTTTCTATTCCTTCTTCTGCACTAAATATCATTTTATTTATAATTAAATTATTAAATATATTGAATAATTAGTTAATAAGTAATTTAATATCTATAATATTTATAATATTTACAATGAAAATACCTGCTTTTATCACTTTCTCCTGCTCCTAATAATAATAATGATAATAATAATAATAAATCATTAAAAATTATTTAAAAATTATTTAAAAATTATTTAAAAATTATTAAAATATATAATTTATTTTATATAAATAACAATTTACATACCAGCGTGTTGTCTTAAATACTCTTTTAAACTTTCCAACCAAGTTAACATAATTTCTTTATCTTCTTTATCTTCACCTTTAGGAATACTGATAACCTCTCTTAATGGAAATGTAATTGGATTATAATCAACTTTTAAATATTGAAGATGTTTCATATCTCCAATATAAGTTGGAAGTTTCTTTATTTGATTTTTAGACATTTGTAATGCCTTTTTTTTTTTTTTTTAATCAGAAATTTAATCAAAAATTTAAATCAGAAATTTTAAATCAGAAATTTTAAATCAGAAATTTTAATCGGAAATTTTAATCAGAAATTTAATCAGAATTAAATTAGAATTAAATGGAAATTTTATAATTCATTAGAAATTTTATAACGTGATTTACCTTTAATGTCATTAATTTTCCGAAATCTTTTGGTAATTTACGTATTTTATTTTTACTGATATCCAAAATTTCTAGACTTGGTAATGAACAAAGCTAAAAATGATTATATTATAATTATTTTTAATTATGTTATTATTATTTAATTATTTAATTATTATATTATTATATTTTAATTATTTTAATTAAATTAGATTATCTTAATTTGATATTATTATTTAATTTAATTTAATTTAAAGCTCTTATTTAATTTAATTTAATATTATTTACCACTTCAGGAAATTCTCGAAAGGCATTTTGAGATATATTAAGATATCTAAGACAAGTAAGATTACATATTTCTGTTGGTAAATTTGTCAATTGATTTTGATCAAGTCCAAATCTAAAATTGGAATAATCACGTTAATTATTAATTATATTATTATTATTATTAAAAAAAAATGAATGATATATATAATATAATATAAATAATATATATATATATATATATATATAATATCAAAGATAATAAAACAAACCTTTCAATTTTATAATTCTTTGCTACAATAATAATTTCCACAGGAAGTTCTCGAATATTTTTCATAACTAATCTAATAGTTTTAGGATCATTAACTAAAGATTCTTGAACAATTTTGACGAGATCGTCTTCGGCCATTATATTATTATTATTATTATTATTTATATATCCTCTCGATGAATTTAATTAAATGATCAAAAATCAATAATCAATATCAAAATTTAAACGTATTTATTTGATTTATTTGATTTATTTTGTTTAATTGATTTTTTTAAAAAAAAAAAAATTCCTAAGAAATTTTGTTTCTTTAAAATTTTGTAAATAGAAACATTTATTATTATTAAATTATTATTTAAGGAAAGAATGTAAAATAAATAAATAAATAAATATAAAAGTATTTTTTTTTGTGTGTGTGTGAGAGAGAAAAGAGAATAAGTAAAAAGTAAAAAAATTCAAGTAAAAAAAAAAATCAAAAATAATAATATTTTGTTGATTATGATGATGATGAAAAAAAAAAATAACAAAGAACTTTTTTTTTGTTTGTTACGTAAATAAATATAACATAACAAATAACATAATAAATAATAAAATATATTAATATAAATATATAATATATACAACTTAACGTAATGTATAACACAATTATAACAATTTGCAGTTTTGGGAAAATGTCGAAATGAACAATATTATAGGGTCACATGAAAGCGGTCATTATTTTTGAGTAACGAAAATTTTTAAATATTATTATTCGTTATAATTCTTATAATTCACATACGAATGATTTCAAATGATTTTTCACAAAATGTTGTGCGTGATAACAATAATAACAAATAAATATTAAAAATTAATTACCTACGACATTGAAATTTCTGTGAAAGATTATTGAAAAAATGTTTGGCTTCTTTAGATCGTTATCATGTGGCAAATTCGGATATATATGTGTTCAACTATATTTGGTAATACTCCGAAAATATTTTTATTTTGCTTACTTAAGCCAAAAATCTGTTTGAGAATCATATGATAATGAAACTATATGTCAATATGTCAATTAATATTATATTAAATAAAAATTACTTTCGGCTGAACGTTATATAGCTTCGTTATAGCAAGGCGAAGAATTCAAAACGATTTGATCGATGGATTAATTATAGTACGGCAAAGGTATTTTACTATATTTGTGCCAAAAAATTCACTATCACTATATTGTAAGGAATCTTTTGTTATTCCATAAATCTGAATTGAAGAAGGTTTGGGATATTTCATTCTATTAACTCTATTAATTGATCTTGTAAAATTTTAAATTTCAGAATTATGACTCATTATTATTAATGTGAATATATGTATATTCTATATGGAAAATCAAAAAGGTTTAAATGAGATAAAGTATTTGATTAATTATGATTCTTTTTTTTTTTTTTAAGAAAGTTTATTGTTATTCTGATTTTGAAATCAGAAGATTCATTTATTGAGGTGTTTATTAGAAATGTATCTTGTCTCGTTACGTTTTTAAAGAAACCTTTGATGAATATTACAATTACAATTACTACTATTTTAAAATTTCATATTCAATATAATTTTGTGTATATAAATATATATATATATTTCATTTTATTACTTCAATTTTATTTTGATAATAATCTTACTGATAAAAATGAATAAAATGATTAAAATAATAAAACATTACATATAAAATCATGCTTATTAGTTGCTTAAGAAGTTTTTTTTAATCCTTTGAAAAAAAAAGATATTTCGTTAGTTTAAAAATTAGACTTCACTTCATTTGAAAATTTATAACTTGTATGACAAATATTTTTATTTTTACATATTTAAAATTAATTTTGTAAAACTTTGCAAAAAAAAAAATTAAATTTTTAAAATTATTAAGAAATGCAAACGAGAATGTGACTGTGATGGTTATTGGTGGCTATAATTTAACTCAAAAATAATTTTGATAAATGGACAAGTGAAAATGATGTGATAGATAAATTTATCCAGAACGCAAAGAATAAGTTTGAAGTAATAGCAATAAAATGGAATGGATACCTTATGATAGATGAACAAATAGCGAAGGATGACTTAGGTAGGTAAATGGATATTCTAAATTGGGATAAAAAATTATCAATGGATAAAAGGTGATTAAAATGAAATGAAGTGGTATTATTAAAAAAGTTTGATAATTACTGCAAAGATTTCTTAACTGTTAAATGAGGTGAAGTAAAATATTTTTTTTAAAAAATTAATAAAATATACTATGAAAATTTATTACATTCATATGTAATTTATTAATTACAATATATATATTTTTTTTTTTGAGAAAAATAACAAAAGAACCAGAAACCCACCTTAGAAATTATTTAAGAAATAATTTTAATAATATTAATTGACATTAATTAATTAGATTACTTAAAAAATTTAATAATCTAATTTTAAAAAATTTCATGGATTAGATATAATTCATCCTGAAAGTTGGTTATTTCTGATTTTTTTTGGCTTAAATAATTGATTGGACAAAACCAATAAGAAAAATATATATTCGAGGTATTAGCTCCTGAAGCCAAAGTGTAATGAAATTCATTTCATAAATGCAATGCTTGGATGCAATTACTTATCGACCCACTTTTGAAAAATTATAATGAATATTGGTAAATAATTGTGAAAATAATAATGATATCACAATTCGAATAAAAAATGCTGAAGAATTTGAAAAAATTTCAATTTTATATTAATTTTTCAAGATTCTCAAAACCAGTAAAATGATCCAAGTTTTGAAAGAGAACTTGAAGAACTAACAGAACCTCTTTCTCATATAATTACTAGTAAATATCAACTGTATTATATATTTTATTCATTTTCCACAATTAATCAATTATATTAATTTTATTTTTATTTTATTTTTATTTAGATGATGATATTGAAGATTTTAAATATCAAGTAGAATTTTCATTTCATTTATAAATATTTTATTATTCAATCAGCTTGTTTATTATATTAAATCTTTATTTTATATTAAAGTATAGAGTATGAATTCATTATTTTGGTAGAAAAAAATTCCTTTCGTATGCTAAATATGTATTAAAAGAAAAGGTGGTGGTTGTTTGATAATCAATAAATAATATAATCGGATTATCAAATTGTAATTGATTGAATTAAAAAAATTTTTTTTTTTATTCATAACAAATGTTTCGAAAAACTTTTTCTACTACAAGAAATAATTCAGTAACTTCTGGATTTATTTGTTCGTTTTATCGATATCCAATTAATTCGATAAAAAATACTTTTAGGAACATTAGTTCATTATCAAAATTTGATGCAGTTGTCTTTGGTGCATACAAGGATGGTTCACTTACGGATTCGGCTGCTAAATTAATTCCCGAAACTCTTCAACAAAAAATCAAAGAGCAACTACAATTTTCGGGAATTAAAGGAAAATTAGGTGAAACAAAATTATTTTATAATATTGGAGGTGAAGATATTCCAAAAAAGATAGCCGTTGTTGGACTAGGAACTCATAAAAATAATGTTGAAGAGGAATTCGAAGCTTTGGGTAGAGCACGGAAATCGGTAGAAATTTTTGTTTAATATTTGTTACTTGAATTGATAAAATGATTCCTTAAATTGAATTATATTAAACAAGGCTGCAATTGGGGTACGTTCTTTACGAGAAATAGGAGCTAAAAATATTGGTGTTGATGTGATGACACATGAACACGGTTTGTATGGATTCATTCATTATTTATCATCATTATTTATTATTTATACAAATTTTCCTTTAATCAATTATTTTTTCGATTAGGTGCTGCTGAAGGTGCAACACTTGGACTTTATAGTTTTGATAGCTTAAAATCCGAAAACAATCGAAAGTCACCAATAAACATTGAACCAATTGGAGTATCATCAAAAATTAAATCTTCAGAAGAATTATCATGGGATACAGGACTTATTTACGCAACTGCTCAAAATAATGCACGTGAACTTGCTGAAACGCCAGCAAATCTTATGACGCCAACTCATTTTGTTTCTAAAGTCAGGTCATTCTTGAAAGATAATTCTAATGTTAAAGTGATTGTTCATGAAAAGGAATGGGTAATAGAAAAAGGGATGAATTCTTTCTTATCTGTAGCTAAAGGTTCCAATGAACCATTGAAATTTTTGGAAATTCACTACACAGGTGGTAAAGAAAACAAAAAGCCATTAGCATTAGTTGGAAAAGGTATTCTAAAACATCTTTTAATTATTATTTAATTATTATTATTATTATTTAATTATTATTATTATTATTTAATTATCATTCAATTTTTAATTTTAATATATAATATTTTTTGTAGGAATAACTTTTGATTCGTGAGTAAATCTAAATCTTTTCAACAATAAATTGATAAATTATTGATAATATTATTAAAACATTTTATTAACATTAAAAATACTGTTGAAAATCTTTAGCGGTGGGATTTCACTTAAACCATCATCAAAAATGGCGGAAATGAAGGGTGACATGGGAGGTGCTGCTGCAGTCATATCATCATTGTATGGTATTGTTAAACTTGGTTTACCAATAAATGTTGTTGTATCTGTTCCATTATGTGAGAATATGCCTTCTGGTCATGCAATTAAACCTGGTGATGTTATTAAAGCTATGAATGGTAAATCAATTGAGGTAAGGTATCGTTTTTGTCTTTTCTTAAATTCAAAATTTTAGATGTTATTATATTAATCTTTTTGATCCATTTTCTTTCATTCCCCCCCCGTTTTTTTTTTTTAAAAAAAAAAAAAGATTGAAGACACTGATGCTGAAGGTCGTCTCATTCTTGCTGATGCTTTATATTATACTAGTTCTACTTATCAACCACATAGTTTGATTGATATAGCTACTTTAACTGGTTCAATACATGTCTCATTAGGAGAAATTTATTCAGGTGTATTTACTAATTCTAAAAAACTTTGGAAACAATTATCAAATTCTGGAAAAATTACAAATGATCCTTTTTGGCGTATGCCTTTAAATGATGGATATATTGAATCCCTCAAAAAATCAATAGTGGCAGATCTTGGAAATGATGGTGAAAGAGGAGGAGGCGCAAGTATAGCTGCAACGTTCTTAAAAGAATTTGTAAATGGCTTAACAGATGTAGAAGAAGAAGAAAAGAAGTCTGAAAGTAGTGATTCTATTGAAAAACTAAATAAGGAGTTAGACGATGCTGATGAAGAAAAAAAGATTCGTTATGCTCATATTGACATGGCAGGATCTATGTTGACTTCGCAAGATTCAGGGTATAATGTGAAAGGAATGACTGGTATGATAATAAATCATTATAATTAACTTATAGTTATTATTATTGATATTTAATTTAAAATATTTTACAATAATAAATAACTAGGACGGCCAACTCGTTCAATCATTGAATTTGCTAGAAATATTTCTAAAGATCCGGATTTTCAATAAAATTCACCTGACTTTTGTATTGCATTGTTATGGATTTTATTCGATTGCTTGATCCGTTCCACAAATATAAACAAAAGAAAATGTAAAATGGTTAAATATTAAGTATCGTAAATATTTATCTGATACGTATGTAATATATAATCGGATGAAAGTTTACTGTAAAGAATCATTATCCCAAAGTTCAAAATCATGTATAGGTTAAAATATGTAAAATATTATTATTAGGTTCTTTACTTTCGTTCAAATAATTAAACCTGAATTCATTCAACACTCTGGATCTACTCCCAACGCATTATTTGTACAAATGTGCGCATTTAAGTAATTCAATTCGATTCCATTAATTCCACTATTGGCCTGAATGATACACAGGAATAAAGAAATAAAAAAGAAATAAAAAAGGAATAAAAAAAAAACCAATAATTTAAAATTTGTATCACTAGAAATTTCTGAAGCATTATTTTCTTGACGACTTTTTTTTTTTATAAATTGATACAATTTTTTATGAATTCGTCGTTGCTAAAATATTTTAAAATATTCGCAGAAAAAAAAACATAAATATAAATATATATATATAATATTCATGAATAAATAAAATATTAATAGAATAAATAAAATATTGATAGAATATTATTCGTAAATATGATTAAAAAAGATAAAAAAAACAAAACCAAAAACGGTACTGATAATGTGCATCTTGCTGGTGAATATAACAAGCCTAGTACTGCCTCGTCGACGTTTGATCATAGCGTTGATTTATTAAATGCAGTATCGGCAGGTGGCGATGTTATTACACCATTCCTACCTTTATTCAGTATTGTTTCAAATGTTGTTGATAAATTGAATATAATATATGAAAACGCAAAATGTAATCAAAAAATATGTTTAGCTTTAATGGACCGTGTTGAGATTGTTCAACAAGCTACCAAGTCTTTACAACGTAAAAGAAAAGAAAATGAAAAAAATTTTTGTAATCAACAATATTATAATTCATGGATTAGATTTACTTACGTATTAAAAAATATTAGAAAATTCGCTAAAGATGCAACACAACAACAATCACTATTTCAAAAATATATAAATGCTAATGCTGTCAAAGCAGCATTTGATAAAAATATTAAAGAATTTGAAGATGCATGCAGAGATTTGCAATTTTCAGTAGCTATGTATTCTGAAGAACAAAGAGAACAAGAGAATAAACAAATTCTAGAAGATATATTTATGTTAAATAAGGTATTAGATTTATTATAAAGTTTTTGATTTTTTGATTTTTTTTTTTTTTTAAAAAAAACTATTTTTAATAAATAAATTATTTATTAAAATATTATATTATAGACAATGAATGAAGTTTCAGATGATGTAAAAATGGTTTTGAAGCAAGTAAATATTTTAACGATTAATATGGAACAATTGACGGATCAAATATCAAAACGTGGAGGTTCTGCTTCCGCAAAAACTTTATTAAATGAGTCATATAAGGCTCAAACCATTCAACCTTCCGAACTTCAGGAACCAAATAGTGGATCCGATAATGTAAGAGGAACTCAGAAAACTGTTAGAAAAAAAATCTATCGTTCAATGGATGTTGCATGTAAAAAATTTCAAACTGTTAAGAAAAATGATACAGCTGATTCCCAAAGAGTTCAAACTGAATTGGCAATACTCAGCTTATTAGGAAAATGTACCCATATTATTACTTTTTATGGTCTTTCGAGTATAGAACAAGATGATGTTATGGTTTTTGAATGGGCTTCACATGGAAACTTGAAAGAAGTTTATACAGATTATACAATTTCTTGGACTAAAAAATTACAATTTATCTCGGATATATTTTGTGGTCTTAGTTTTATAATTAACTGTGGAGTTCTTCACCATGATGTTCGATGTGAGAATATTTTGGTAAGTAAAAAAAAAAAAAACATCGAATTTATTCTAATCTATAATCTATAATCTGAAATATTCATTTATTTACATAGATCACTAAAAATTGGGAAGCAAAAATTTCAAATTTTAAAACGTCACGTCAAGTTAAAGCAGATACTACGCCACGTTCAAACTTGAGTGATTATGTTCGTTGGTTAGCTCCCGAAAAACTTCGTGATTTAGATCAAACACGTTATACCCATAAATGCGAAATGTTTAGGTAAGTTGAATTTTATTTTATTTTTTTGATACTTTTATTAATACAGTATTTTATTCATTATTATTTAATAAATATCTCATAATTTGAAAAATTAGTTTCGGGATGTTAGTTTGGGAACTTTGTTACCAAATGGTTCCATATAAAAGCATGAAATTAACAGAAATACAAGATCATGTTAAAAATAAGAGAAGGGAAAATTTAGGAATTCAATTTCATCCAAGTCCAATTGCGCAAGAACTTGCCGAACTTATTAAGCAAAGTAATAATTTAATAAATTTTAATTTAATTAATATATTTAATTATACAAGAATCAACATATTAACAGTATTATTTATTAGCATGGAATGATGATCCGGAGTTACGTCCATCATATCTTGAAGTTCAAACGAAAATCAAAAATTTAGAAAGCCAATATATATCTAGTCAATCCCCACGAATTTTTCCAAAAAATAAAGCCAATAAGGACATTCCATATATAGACTTGGGTCAACAATCCGATCAACAATCCGATAATGACTCTTCTATCTCTGTTGATATTGACCTTCTTGAACCCAAGAAAATGGATGATCATAAGTTATCATGTGCCAATATTCCAACAGTTAAAGTCTTAAAACCATTTGAGGATGGAGTTAAAGCACATAAAGAGAATCAATATAAGAAAGCTTATGAATGTTTTAATGAGCATGCAAATTTAGGACATAGTTTAGCGAAATATTATAAAGGTTATTATCTTGAGAAAGGATTGTATGTAGAAAAAAATGAAAAAGAAGGTGAAAATTGGATAAAAATGGCAGCCGAAGAAGGTGTCCCGGATGCACAACTTCGTTATGCAAGTATATTAAAGAAGGATAGTAAAGATAGTTCTAAAAACAATCAGAGAATTTTACATTATTTGAAACAAGCAGCAGATATGGGAAATGATGCTGCTATGTATTATCTTGGAACTATTTATTATGATGGAAAATTGGGAACGCAAGTAGATAAAAAAAAAGGGAGTGAACTAATTAAAGTAGCAGCTTTGAAAAATCATTCTGACGCAATAAATTTTATAAAAAAAAACAACATGATTGATTAAGGGATAAATATTATTAATAAATTATACTAGAATAAAAATTTTTTATTTATGTATTTTAAATATTTAATATCTGTATTTCCGGATTTCATTTTTGCATTTTTTTTTATAAAATAAATATTAAATTTTAATAATTTTTAATGTCAAATATTTTAGAAATTTAAATTTAAATTATATTTTTCGTAATAATCTACTGTATATTAGTTAAATTATTCATATAACTAAACGTACAATTGCTAATTTAAATCATTTGTGTTTTACATTGCGGTGTTAGATCTAAACAATATTTTGCATCTGAATATAAGGTAAGTAATATAAATTCGAGTTTTTTATGAAGAAATATAGTAAGCTAAGTATAATAGAGAAGGATATTGGAGATGAATTGATATCTAGAAGTGGTTTCTTTAATAAAAGGTAAAAATAATGACTACGAAATTGGATCGGCAATATCGGCGCTACGTTTCGCGAAGGACGTGAATTTTAGTTTTTTATTAAGTAGGTGAGAAACAAACTATTGTCAATCGGAAATTATAACAAATTAATCAATCGAATCAAAATCAAATGTTAATTTAGATTTAACAAGGTTGTTATAGTTATCCACAAATTAAATTGGTACTTCAAATATAAGGTGAAGATAACATATATTTTCTGGGCTTTTGTGATTTCAAAAAATAAAAACAAAAATCTTTTATTAAATTATTAAATTGAATTGATTGACTATTTCTTTCCATTGGTAATTGTTAAACAACCAAAAATAATTGATTAAAAAAAATAAACACGCGTCACAACAAACAAAAAATGAAATGCCAAATACATAATAAAATGTATTCAAGAATTTAGATTTTCTCAAATATAAATGGAAACGTTCGCAATCATTTCCAACGAATTTTTATTATAAAGGTGATTAAAAATATTAGAATCATCTATTTTACATGACGCTAGCATTATTGATATTATTGATTCATAATGATTGATTTTAATATTATAAACTTTACCTATTGTTCTATTGCTGTTAGAAGTTTTATTTTATTTTCTTTATTATTTTATCATTTATTATAATTCTTGTCTTATTTTATTGTTTATTTTATTATTATTTATGATTATTGCATTAATTTTAGAATTGACATGTATATATTCATAATTCATATTAACTATAATATAATTAAGATAGAAAAGGCTAGTTGATGTAGTTGAAGTCCTTAATTAAAGAGACATCAGATGAGATCTTACACCCAAGTGAGGTCTGAGTATCATTAGACCAGACCACAAAGTTGGCTTTAGACATCACGTAAGGCCTTGGTCTTCCAGAAAAGAAATGTATATAAAGACAAGAGAAATTACTTTGTCAAATCAGTTTTGGAATTTATTCAATTCCTATTTCTTTATTTTTAATAAATAACAATACTTTTGTCTTGAAAATGTTGCTGAAATAACAAAAGGACACATTGTATAATCCAAACTCACCTTTGATCTTTATTTTCTTTATTTTTGATTATTAAATCTGTGATTGTTTTTAGTTATTATTGATTTAGTATTTATATTTATTAATAAATTTATAGTTGTTGGTTAATTAGTTAGATAAATTGATATTATCTTTATTTATTTGAATTCCTTCTATTGTTTATATTTTGTTCCCAAGTATTTATAATCAATCAATCACATAACTTAATCACTACCAAGCTAAACCACTAGAAAATAGAAAGCTTGCTCTCCCAGATAGTAACACTGCTTATCTACTACTTAGCCATAATAAAATAAGGATAATTAGGCAATTATAATACATCAATATTTAATGAATAATAATAAAGAAAAAAAAAATAGCAACAATGATTAATCAAACATTTTATTACATAAAAAATCTCAATTGAATATGAATATGATATTGAATTTGTACTTTATACTTAGTGTAAAGATTTAATATAAATTTTCTTTTAATAATAAATAAAACTAATTGAATTCACACCACACATATCAATATAAAAGATAACTTTAAGCATATTTAATATTAAATATTTAGAAATCTTCAATATCATCAACTAAACAAGATAAGAATAAATTATATTAATATAATTTATTATAAAAATGAATAAAACATAATACTTACTAGTAATTATATGAGAACCAAATTCGGTTAATTCTTCAAGTTCTTTTTCGAAATTTGGATCAATTATAGAATTAAATCTACTCGAATTCATTATAATAACTATTAAACTCTTCATATAATTCTTCAAAGTGAGTCTATTGAGCAATTTGAAAGTGTGAAATGAAATTTGTAATAGATATATCACGGAGACTAACGCTCATGATAATTTAAAAAAAGAGCGTCACATTAACAAATTATTTTGTAAAATAGTATATTATATAAATTTAATTATATATATAAAAAAAAAAATAACACTTTTCATATTTTTACTTTAAATGTTTCAATCTGCAAGTTCAATACTAGATAATAATATTATCTCTGATGAAAAAAAATGAAAAAAAGAAGAAAATATTGAATTGGAATTAAATAAAAAGTAAAATCAAAATTAACATGTGCGACCAATTAGTAAACGTGGGATAATAGGTTGTAATCACATTTTCAAAGTCAACAGCCTTTCCCTCTATTATTAATCCTCCATAATGTGGTTAAATAGAAACTTTCTTTTCGCTAAGGTTACTTTAATTGTTTCAATACTTTTATTCTCATCAGTAACTGCTAGAAAATGTTACGCTATTATCCAGGCACACGTAATTACACTAAAACCATTTACCCTTCCCCCGAATTGTCCAAAACCCTTCACCACTGACACCATTATATCTACAACCAGTGTTGTCAAATTCGCATGTCCCCAGCTTTTTTAACTGTCCCTGTGTCCCATGTCTCACTGTCCCTACCATTAACCAATCTATAAGTGGATATTAAAACTTTATAAATATATATAAAAATCAATTTCAAACAACTTTAATTAATATCCCAAAGCAGATTTTAAAGTAAAATTTTGTGCATTTACATTTTTTAAAAAAATAAGTTTTGTCCCAACATTGTCCCGAAGGTGTCCCTTGACAACACTGTCTACAACTACAACTACCACCACCACCGCCACCGATACCACCATTACCATAACTCGCTATGATATTGATAGAAGAGATAAAGCTTTTACTTGCATCCCTGATAAAGATGGCAATACTAATATTTATTCTAACAAATGCGTAAAGACCATCTCTGTAATGCAACTGTTTTTTCACCACGTCAGCAAGCTCATGCCGCAACGACAACCTCTATTTCAACCTCTACCTTAACAGCTACCTTCACATCTACTTTTCATTTTTTATGTCCTCCTGCTGGCTCGTATTGTACTGCACCAATTGATGCTCGATGTGGCAGCGATAAATGTTTTATACATGAAAACACTTTTAATAAATGCTTATAATAGTGTAGTGATATGCGTATTATTTTATGCACTTCACTAATATCCTAATATCCTAATATCCTAATATCCTAATATCCTATTTAAGCTCTGTAATTCTTTTATTTTTATTTTTATTTTTATTTTTTTGATTTATGGGAATATGTTTGACATTGATCTATTAATTTAATAACTCAGATATTGGGTATTGTTTAGTTCTTTAAATGTGTATGCAAAGTAATTTGTCTTATTATGATAAAGTATTTAAAATTTCCACAAGTTACATATTTCCAATATAAGATGAACTATCGTATTAAGTATGTGCTTGAGGTATATACTCTGGGATATTCAAGTGCAGTAATATATATATATAATAAAAGAATACCCAGTTCAGTGATATATCTCGTCCAAGTAGGTAAATGGGATATGTAAGTGGGGTATTCAAGTGCAGTAATATTATATAAGTAAAATGGAGAAGAATATCCATATCGGAGGTATAGGTAACTTCAGAAGTATCGGACCTTGTCTGTGCATATCATTATATATAAATCATGAAACCTACCCACTTACATATATACTTGATGATAATACCTTCCTCATGTATGTGGCCCAGCAGAAATAATGCCATTATCATGTGGCCTGACGTCAAATGAGCATACTATAAATGTCGACGAAAATGCGCCACCGTCGTCACATGATACGTATATAAGTCGTTTGTTTATAATAAACATTTTTCCAATTAACTTATAAACCAAATATATTAAGATCAAAAAGATAAATATTTTCGAAAAATCCTAATGATTTAGGCTAAACCGATTCCATTGTTAACTTTTTAATATTGCTGGACCATCAATCCATTTAGCATAATAAATAGTAATAGAAAGATATTTAAACATATTTACATTTAGTTGAGTCTTATCAAAATCATTTTTAAAATGTTTTGAGTAATAAGATCGGCAACAATAACCATTATCTTACATGAATCAGACATTTTGTTTATGAGATGAAATAAAAATTGGGAAAATTACCTAATCTTTCATATGCAGAATTTGTTGATCTTCCATATGCGTACAATGATTCGATTATAATTATCAATTAATTATTATTTTTTTTTTATACCAATATTATTCTATTCTATTTTCAATAATATAGATGGGTGGTTTAGATCTTGATGCATGTATCTCTCAGTTACTTCAAAAACAATTATTGGCGGAATCTCTTCTCAAGGAAATATGTGAGAAAACCAAAGAATTGCTAATGCGTGAAAGTAACGTAGTTCATATTTCAGCTCCTGTGACAGTTGTTGGCGATATTCATGGGTAATTAAAAATATAATAAAATATAATAATGATTTATAAATCTATTAATGAGATATGAATATAGATTTATAAAAATATTTTTTATTTATAGACAATTTTATGATTTGATAGAAATATTTCGGATTGGTGGTTATTGTCCACACACAAATTATCTTTTCCTCGGTACTTCATTATTAAATAAATAAACCACTTTTTCAAAGTATTATTATTATTAAGTATTATTTTAAAAAGCAACGATAATAGTAGTATATTTTTATAAAAAAAGGAGATTAAGAATGTTTACCAAAAAAAAACAATCGCCTTGTATGGTTTGTTGCAGGCGATTACGTAGATCGAGGACTATTTAGCGTGGAAACTATATCTTTGTTGACTTGTCTCAAATTACGATATCCTGAAAGAGTTCAACTTGTTAGAGGAAATCATGAATCTAGAGCTGTAACTCAAGTAAATTATTTTTTATTGTTATTTGTAATAATTTAATAAAATTATCTTTATTTTATTATTAATCAATCAACCATCTTATTTTAGACATATGGATTTTATACAGAATGTATTAGAAAATATGGATCCACTAATGTTTGGCATTACTTTACTGACATGTTTGATTTTCTTACATTATCAGTTGTAATTGATAATCAAATATTTTGTGTACACGGTGGTAAATAAATTATTAATAATCTAATTTATTCAATTATTCATTCAATTATTTATTTAATTATTTATTTAATTATTTATTCAATTATTTATTCAATTATTTATTCAATTATTTATCAATTATTCATTCAATTCAATTCAAATAAGGACTTTCTCCATCCATACACAGCATAGACCAAATAAAGATCCTTGATCGATTCAGAGGTATTAAATATTATTATTAATATTTAAAAGAAAAAGAGATGATGAATATTAATAAATATAAATTTAGAAATACCTCATGAAGGGCCAATGGCTGATTTAGTTTGGTCTGATCCGGATCCTGATAAAGATGAATTTTCTATTTCACCAAGGTTTGTTTATATTATATTAATTTTTGATAATATTGTGTTATTATTTATTTTTAATAATATTATGTTTAAAATTATTATTATTATAATTATAATATAATATATTAGAGGAGCAGGATATACTTTTGGTGGGCAAGTTGTAAGAAAATTCTTGGAGATAAATCAAATGGGTCATATTTTACGTGCTCACCAATTATGTATGGAAGGATTTCAGGTGATATATTATTATTATATATATATTATTATATATATATTATTATTTATTTTAATATTATAAATAATATTTTAAATATGATATATATATATATTTATTTATTTATTTTTAAAATATTTTAGGTTCTTTATGATGATCTTTTATCAACAGTATGGTCAGCTCCAAATTATTGTTATCGTTGTGGTAATATGGCTTCGATTTTGGAAGTTGGTGTTGAAGGACAACGATTTTTTAATGTTTTTGAAGCTGCACCAGAGAATGATAGAGATGGTCCATCTCAACAAATGACTACTGAAAGAAAGGTAATATTTACTATTTAATATTTAATATTTAATATTTATTTATTATTATTATTTTAATATTTATTAATATTTTTATTTTTATCTTTTTTTTTTTAGGATAAAGTTCATTATTTCTTATAGAATTTATTTTATTTCATTATTTCATATTATTTCTTCACTTCATATTTTATTCTTAATTACTAATCTTGAATTTTTACTTACTTAATACTTTGTATAAGTTTCTGATTTTTTCAAAAATTTTTTTTTTCAATTATTTCAATTTCTTATTCATTTTTTACTCATTTATTTAATTATTTATTTACATGTTTATTATTTATTTACATGTTTATTATTTATTTATTCATTTTTAATTATTATTCATCTATTATTACATCAATGAAAAAATTTAATATTTAACAAATTTATTTATTCATTCATTTAATTTAAAATATTCTTTACAACTATACGTATATATATCTATATATATCAGATATATAATTATTATTATTAGACGTATATATTCTTCATATATTTGTGCAATTTCTTTTTTTTTTGTTATTAAATCATTCTAAGAACTATTTATTCCATGAACTATAATAAAGTGGAAACGAACGATAATAGGTGTAAACGATAATAAGTATAAACAATAATAAAGTATAAATAATAGTGATAGTATAAACAAAATAATATTAAATATTGTATAATAATAATAATAATAATAATAATAATAATAATAATAATAATAATATTTTATTGTAAAATGATTAAAAATCTTCGAAACCACCTTCAGCTCCATTTGTCACTTGAACCAAGAATTGAACAAAATTAACTACACAATGCCAATAAAATCCTCGATATAATCCTCCAACACCATAATTATCTAACCAACTTTTTTGTCGACGTTCTGATCTTCTTCTTTGATTTCCATGTTTAGGAACATATGTTTGACTAATTCCTTCTTCCATAATAATTTTATATGCCGCATCTAACATTCCCGTATATGGTGCTTTACGTATTTGAACTATCGTCTCAAATGGTTTATCATTATTTGGTGTACGTGATCGAATTTGACAATGTAACCTTCGACGTATCGTTTCAATTGGAAGTGTAATCATTAATTGTAATGTATTTAATCCAAATTGCGCAAGTCCAAAAATAAATGGTGAATCGGCTGGATTAATATGAAAAATACGATCAATTATTAATGGTATCGTGCAATCTAATAATGGACAAATTGTATGATATACAATTGATGGAAGAAGATTATGTGACCAATATAATGATGAAAATCCTTCTTCTTTTATCATTTGTAATAAACAATCGAATGGTCCAGAATATTTTTTATGAATTGGTGACGATGTTTGAACAATTAACCTTAAAAAAATTAAAATTAAATTAATATTTAAACTATAATAAAGTTAAAATAATAATAATAATAATAATAAACTATAATAAAGTTATAATAATAATAATAATAATAATAAACTATAATAAAGTTATAATAATTAATATAATATCATAAAGTTATAAATAATAATTACCTCGTTCTTGCTACTTCTAAAGGACTTAAAAGTGTTCCTGTTATAACATGACTTGTCACCATTGTAGCAATGTTTGGTGCCACTCGATCTAAATAAATTATTGGAATTGTATCATCATATAAATCAAATGCATCATTTAATGTTCCTTCAATGGATGGTTGAAGACCAATATAACATAATTCATAAATCCAATTGGTTAATTGTCCTTTTTTTTTAAAAAAAAAATAAATAAATAAATGAATGTTAATTAAATTATTGTTAATTTAAATTGTTGTTAACTAAATTATTGTTAATTATTTTTAATTATTGTTAATTATTATTTTGAATAATATTTTACCTTTCCATAAAGATTTAAACCCTTCCGTTGGATGCTTAAATAATCTAACTATAGTATCCTTAACTCCAAGTTCTAATGGTGGTAACATATATTTTGGACGCGTCGCTTCATCATAAATATCTGTACTAATATATCCTTGATTATCCAAAGTTTTGGATTGTCGAAAAGTTGGTGAATTTGGATCAAATGTTTTACGTGATTGATTATTTAAAATATCATCGTCGTCACCATCTTCATCAGACTATTTTATAAAAAATATATATATTGAATATAATAATAAAAAAATTGATAAATATATAAATATTAAAATGAATAATAAATTATACATATTAAATGAATATTATATATTACTTCATCCGAGTCTATCACTTTCTTATTTTCTCTAACGATAGGTACCACGTCTTCATTAGGCAAATATTGAATTTGTAATAAAGTTTTCGCAACTTCAAGTGGATTTGAAATAGCTGAACTAATAAATTTGACAAAGCCAAAACTAATTAAATCTTTAATTGCTAATTGAGACTCTTCATCAACTAAGTTTCGATTACGTTCTTCTTTGGTATTAGTAGAATTTCCAAAAGGTGTATAATAATGATCGTTATTTGGTGGTACATAATATGGTCGAAGTGGATGAACTGTAGTTGTTTGAGGAAAGGGTGTATATGTATATCTAGGTTTGGTATCTGTTGAAGAAGAAGGAACTGTTGGTGGTGATGGTGAAGAAGTATCTGTTGAAGGAGGTGACATTATTGTGAACTAATTATTTAGAATTATAAGAATTAAAAGCAGCGCGTTAATATTTTTTTTATCAAAGTCATACAAGATTTTAGCAATTCGTACGACGCAGCTTGCCTTTTTTTATTATTTTTTAGACTGTGCCTTTTTGGATTAGATCAGTATCCATTTTAAGCGAAAACTAGATATAAGAGGCAATTTGTGGTTTGGAAGCGTTTTATATTTTTTTTTATAGTTATTATCAAGAAATCAACGCGCCGCACTGTGCCGTGCTGTGCTCATGATCTTGACCCACCGCTTCGTTTTACTTCACTCTGGGCGGGTATCGTATTTATAAAAAAAAATCGTTTGTCTAACAAGGCGCAGATGTGTTTTTTTACAATATACTACTATATTTTCTATCATAAGTAATAAACTTAAACTAAACAAATAATGTGATAATAACATTTACCTTTCTATTTTTATTTTTTTTTTGTCTTTCATTTCGCAAATTACATATTCAATAAAAAATAATTACTAAGCACTAGATAATGTGATGACAATAGTTTGATTGTTAATAACATCATTTCAAATAAAAATAATAAAGATGAGAATTTTGTATCTTTATTATGCATGTATCTATATCAATTGTATCACCCCTGTCATAGGGTATCTCCTGTCAATTTGAAAAGTTTAACATTTCACAGATGAAAAAGTGTTTTCATCAAAAAAATAAATAAATTGGCTTTTCCCAATTATCTTGATGTCTGATTTAAGGTAATATTATAAAATTTTTTTCGATGTTGATTGGTATTACAATAAGTCAAGGAGGTTAAGGTCAATAATTTAATTGTTTTGACCAAGAGGCTATTTATGAAAGGTTTTCTGATTAAAATCATCAGTTCAATTGGTATTGCAATAGATTAAGGGCAATAGGACAATAGCTTAATTGTCTTGACTAAAAAGCCATTATTCAGGGTCTTCTAATCAAAATCATCAGTTCAATTGTTTCCAAGAAATTATTCATCTGAATAAACCAAAAAAAAGATCAAACCATGATGGATTAATTAGATAAGAAAAAAGTGATGGCTTCCCTGCAGATTGAAATAATAAAAAAAAGTCCTGTCCAAAGAAAAAAATTTGAATCTTACATAATAAAAAACAATAATAAAAGAAAAGTACTTATTGTATATCACCACTCCCTCATCTTTAAATTACTAATAAAAACAAGATATAATTAGTCCATTCCATAGTAAAGCTATGTCATCTATATTCATATCATTCTGTTTCATTAAAACTGTCACAGGAAATGACAAGTATACGTCTGGGAACACCTTATATCAGATGAAAGGTGATGAACCTCTCACCTTGATATCTGAAGATACCCTAGACTTTGAAATGCTAAATGAAAACAATTTGATCCCCCATTTTAAACATTCAAAAAACCTACCTCATATTATACACTTAAAAGAAGGTGACATGTCATGTTTCTAAATAACAACCTTTTTGATGATGATATTTGCAATGGCTCAATTGGAATCATAACAAGAATTATTGATGGTCAAAATGTAGAAGTAACTTTTCCTACCTTTACGAACTTAAGTCATCATTCAGAAAGAAACTGTCTATTTTAATATAGATAGAAAACATGCATCAAGAAAACAATTCCCACTCCAGAATGCCTTGGCCCTCACCACTCATAAAGTGCAAGGTTTAACATTACCTTATGTAACTACTTCCATTGATGAATCCTTATTTGTTGAAGGTCAAGCCTACGTCGTGATGCTTCATAGCAGAAACCTCCGTATCATAAACTTTGACTATTACTACTTGATATCACCAAAGGCCACTCTGAATGAATACAAAAGATTAAACGTGATACATGCTAGAGGGTTCCAAAATTTACAATAATCTTTAAACTCGTAAATCTTGTAATCAAACGTTCTTTTAACTAATAAATTTTATTTAAAAATTCAATCCTTTATCATTTTTGATTTATTCTTTCTCCCGTACTTTGTACGATGCAAATCTTCACTTGTCCCCCCACTGTATAACAAATATAACAAATATGGTTTGTTAAGTCTTCGCAGGTTCATCCAACACCCACGAACACAATATTCATTCTCAACAGTAGTCAAAAGAACGCCATTCTTTACCAATCAAATTAACTTTTCTTCCCAATTCTTGAAAACTTTTTCAGCGTGCAAAAAATCCCAGACTGATGAAAGTGGTCATCAAAAGAAGTCAATCTATTTCTCAAGAAGAGATTTGCGGAAGATTGGAATACACTAGAAGAATGTTTCGAGAAACATAACGTGACCGGAAGTACATTATTGAATTTGAAAGTAGAAAATCTACGCCAAGCAGGTACCGTTTATGGTCGCAAAAAGATTGGAGATACTATTGAGCAAATAGCGAGAAAGACTATCTACATTCAAGCCTATGATTATGAGGGTGAAATGTTGGAAAAGTTTGAAGAATATGCGATGTATGGCGAGGAAGATCTTCGCGACTTTTTGAAGGCAGTTGACGGGAAGGGATTGGAATCTATTGATGATAATAATGAAGTCCCAAAAGTCATCACATCTCTAAGACATCCGTCCTTATCAATATTATCGAATCAATGCCTCCCATCTTGTAGCGGTCAAAAAGGGAGTTGTCTGGTCAAAAATTAAGGATCAGGCAATGGAGGAAAGAAACATTATTGGTCATACAACTGCTCTCAATGAAAAGATCAGAGCACCTACAAAAACCTTTTCTAAACGAATAATGAAGGATCCGGAAGGCAACCCATTAATTGAGTGGGATGGAATCTTAATTTGTGAAGATAGAATATTTTTGTGTGAAGCCAAACATAACATGACGATTGTAAGTATAAGTGAATTCCATTTGATAATTATCTTTCGTGAACCTGTTGGACAAGTTCATTTATAATTTGACATTATTAGAAACACATAGGCAATCTCATTAAACGATTAAAGGAATTTCCGAAAAAAAACTCAAATCTACTTCAGATCCAGAATTCAAAAAATTGTTGGGAAAACAACACATTGGAGTTGCCTGTGGGACAAAATTTCCTGAGGAAGTGAAATCCATGGCGAGAGATGAATTGGGATTGATAGTAGTATTTCCCGGTTGTAATCGTTATAAGGTGGAAATGCCTAAAAAAATTTATTTATTAATTCTGCATAATTCGGTTAACTGGAATATTACAAACTAAATAAATTCTTGTTATTTAATTTATCTAAAAAATTTTGTGACAGTATTATTCGAATATAGTCAACCTTTAATCTTTATGACAATTGAAAATTTTATTTATTATTTTTTAGTGATTTCTATTATTTATTATTTATTTATTCTCATTTTATATTAATTCTATGGATTTATGATTTTATGAAATGTGGATTTTTATGTGGTTTTTATTTATGAAGTATGAATTTTTGTTTTCACCTAATCTTGTGTGATGTGATCAAGATTTCGTTTTATGCGTTTTATTCTTTTCATTTTCTTTTTATAATCAAAATTAAAATTAAATTAAAATTAAAATTAAAGAATAAAGTCGTTATTATTATTAAATTAAGTTGTTAGTTGTTGTCATTATTAATTAATTAATTAATTAATAGTATTATTGTTAGTAATGAACAATTTATTTTTCAATTTTTTAAACAATTTTTTTAAAAAAGAATTTTTTGAATTTGTAGTAGTAGATGATGTCGAGAACCCACCTGATAATTTCACAAATTCTTCAATTAATTCTTTTTGTTTCGGTGCGAGTGATCTATATATAATAGAATAGAAGTGTATATTATATTTAAAATTCAAATATATAGAATAAAAGTGTACATTGTATTTAAAATTCAAATATATTATATATATATATATATATATAATCATATATTCAACATATTCAAGATGAATATTGATGACTTACGTTGGTAAGTTTACTTTAAAAATTACAATTTGATCTCCTCGAGCACGTGAATTTATACTTTTAATTCCTCGTTTTTTCATTAAAGCTTGTTGTTCTGGTTGTGAACCTGGTGGAATTTTTAATTCAACATCTCCATCTACAGTAGGAACTCTAATAAAACCTCCTAATATTGCTTTATAAAATGGGACAGGTGCTTCGACAATAATATTATTTCCTTGTCTTTTGAAAACATCATGAGGAACTACTTTTATACGAACAATTAAATCTCCGGGTAATCCACTTCTACCTATTGGTACATCTCCTTGCCTTGGTATTCTCATTTTCATTTCATCATCCACTCCTAATAACAAAATATATTATAATAACAAAATATATTATAATAACAAGATATTATAACAGTTGTTAAATATTATAAACAAGATACTATAATATCAAGTATTATTTTTACCTGCTGGAATATCAATTGTAACTTGTCTAGGTTCATTTACTTGTCCTTGACCTCCACAAACATGACATCGATTTTCGGACCTTATTTTAACGCCTTTTCCTTTACAATCTGGACATGTACTTTGCACTTGAAATCCTGCTGCAACAGGCACATAACGTACTCCTGACCCTTTGCATGTCATACATTTATCTGGTTTCGTTCCTCCTTTAGTACCACGGCCATTACACGGTTTACATGTTGATATCGCATCAATAGTAATGGTCTTTTTTGCACCTGAAACTGCTTCCATGAATGGTATATTCAATTGTACCTATTTTTATAATAAGTTGTAAATTAGTTATAATAAATTAATTAAATCAGTCAAATAAAAAAACAAAATTAAAATAAATTAAATTTAAAAATAAACCTCAATATCAGATCCCTGAACGTGTGGTCCAGTAGAGAATCCACCCCCCCATGTAGAAGCTTTTGGTCCCCCAAAACCAAATACATGTTCAAAAATATCTGGTGGATTTCCAAATCCAAATCCTTCGAAATTTACTCCACCTGAAAATCCACCCGCTCCAGTAGGTTGTTCTATTTGATTGACAATAAATATTTTTTGTTATTTTGTTATTACTTTTTTCTCATTCTTTTTTTTTTTTTTTTTTTTATTAAAATTTAAAAAATTAAAGTTAACCTTCAAATGATGAACCCCATTGATCATATTGTGCACGCTTTTCTTCATCACTGAGTACCTAATTAATATAAAATGTTATAATTAATATTAAATTTTTTAGTTTATCAGACTTATGCAAAAAACAAAAACACCTAAATAAACACACAAAAACATTTGTTTTTATAAACTTACTTCATATGCTTCTTGAACTTGTACAAATTTTTCCTTTGCAGAAGTATCTTTATTGGTATCTGGATGATACTTTTTCGCTAACTAACAGAAAAATAAAATAAAATAAAATAAAATAAAATAAAATAATTAAATGATTCATAATATTTATAAATCAAAATGAAATTGGAACATACCGCATAATATGCTTTCTTGATATCAGATTGAGATGCATTTTTTGTTACTCCAAGAAGTTCATAATAATCTTTTTCTGGTCCCCTTAAAGGTTCTGTTTACACATATTTTTGTAATTAATAATATTAAATGTTTAAATTTCTTTTCTTACTAATAATAATAATAATAATAATGTATGAAATTCTCATTATTATTATAATTATTTACCTGAAGAATGAAATAATCGCTAAAAAATTTGCAGGTCAGTTTAAATAAGTTGATATTTGAATTGTAAATACATTCAGGTGTAAATACATTCAGGTAAGAAGAATTCATTACCTGTTGTTGTTGTTGTTGTTGTTGTTGTGGTTGTTGTTGGTTATTAGTTATTCCTATTTTAAGTGATTTTACTATTAATCTTAATAATTATAAAATAAAAAAAGAATATTTATATATAAAATTATCAAAACGTGTTATCAAAAAATCCTACTTGCAAAATTATTATTAACCGTTGGAAAATTATGTAAATTATGTCGAAAAGTTAAAAAATTATTATTTTTAGGTGATATGAAAACTTTGTTTCGATATTTATTACACGACAATGTAATATTATTATTATTGAGAGTAAAATTATTTTGAACAATTTTTTTGTATAATAAATTTAGTAATAGCATAATGTTAAATTTTTGTGTCTTTCAAAAAAAAAAAAAATGATATAATCTCAATTTATTAAAATCTAGTACAGATAATCTTCAATTAAGTCACTAAGATTTGCATCGTCATCTTTTTTAACAAAAAAAAAAAAAATGAATTCTGTTAATGCTATTCGTGGAGTTCTTATAGATCTATCTGGTGTTCTTCACGTTGGAGATAAAGTTGCGTAATCAATAATTTAATAATCAATAACCTACGTGTTATAATTATAAAATTATGTTTTACATAAAAATTAGGCTTGTGAAGGAGCCCTTTCAGGGTTGAAAAAACTTCGTCAAGCGGAAATTCCTGTTAGTATTATTAATTCTTTTAAACTGTATTGTATTATTATAATATCCTTTTATTTAAATAAATTCTTTGTGATATTTATTAGTTTAGGTTTTGTACCAACACTACTAAAGAGAATAGTTCAAATCTTTTAAATAAATTGACAAATATGGGATTCGAGATTAATAAAAACGAGGTATATCCACATTCCACCATGCTTTGTATAAGTAAAAGACAACTTAATAATTTATTCATTTATGAAGAAAGCTTTTTACTTCCCTGACCGCATGTCGAAATTTAGTCTTGTCACGTGGATTGAGGTAGTGAATTTACTGCATATACTAGTTTTAACCAGTGTTTGAAATTCAAATTTTTAAATCCTGTGCGGAATTTACAAAATTTACAAAATTTACAAAATTAGAATTCTATATGCAAAAATTTGTGCGGATGCCTTTTTTTTTTTGTGCAAATTTTGTGCTAGCGCACATTCCGCACATTGAATTTCAAACACTGATTTTAACTTCTTATTAACACTTTTAACACTTTCATCAATTATCTTTTTTTTTTTATTATTATCAATTTGTGTTATTTGTGTTGGGGGAACGATAATATAATAAAGACCAATGTTATTTCTGGAAGAAAGTGCTTTAGAGGATTTTCAAGGTGTTTCAACTGATGAACCCTACAATGCTGTAGTGGTTGGGTTATCACCATCTAATTTTAACTATAATATGGTAAATAATAATTATTATTATTTTATTATTATTATTATTTAATTAATTATTTTTTCTTCATTTACATAATAAAGCTCAACAAAGCTTTCCGTTTTTTGATTAATAATCCGGAAGCTCCTTTGATTGCCATTCATAAAGGTAAGTATTATGCTGAACAAGATGGTCTCAGTATGGGACCTGGTGCATTCGTAAAAGCATTGGAATTTTCAAGTGGAGTTAATTCAATTGTTGTTGGCAAGGTATTTTTTTTTCTTTCCTCCCTCCCTGAATTATTTCAATTATTATTAAATTTATTAAATTTTTTTGTTTTTTTGTTTAGCCGGAAAAAATCATTTATGAATTGGCAATTACAGACATGGGAATTGAGAAAGAAACAAAACATATTGTTATGATCGGAGATGATATCACACAAGATTTGGGAGGTAATATCATTAAATAAATGTTATCAAATTTTTTTTTTACATAAATTAACAATTCACTCGTAGTTGGTGCAAAAGAATTGGGTTTGATTCGATATCTTGGTACGTAATTAATTAATAATTATTTAATTAATCAAGTCTTTCAAATATTCCGTTTTCTGAAACTTGATATATTATTGGGTTGAAATTTCTTCATTTAGTAAAAACTGGCAAATATCGAAATGGAGATGAAAAACGGGATCCTACTATTGATGGTGTTTTCGAAAATTTTGAAAAAGCTGTTGATAAAATTTTGGGTGGAACTTAAAGAAACATCACTTATGTGGAGCGCGGAAAGAATTACTATTGTGGTTAGAATCTATGAATTCTCTTTTGTTTCACTTTTTTTTTTTTTTAAAAAAAAAAGAAGCCAAAAAATATAATATTTATTTTATTTTTTTTTGTAAGAAAAAAAAAAAATAAGAAAAAAAAATTATATAAAAAAGTTATAAGTAAAAATAAAATATTTTTAACTCAAATCTATGATATAAAAAAAAAATACGATAAAAAAATAATGTATATTATCGGAAATGAATGGGACATTCTCCTCCTCTCTCAAACCATCCACGTATACAATGATAATGATATGAGCATAAACAGTTTAATCTCGTTACGGTTTCGCCTGTTTATGAAAAGAATGTTTTATTATTGAAAATTAATTAAATTGAATTTTCGATATAGAAAAAAATTTGAAATTGATGCAAATTTATAATATATGTACCGGAGGTGAATTCTTCGAAACAGATGGGACATTCTTGTCCAACGAGGGGGTTGTGTTGGGGAAGTTTGTACACTATAATAATAATATAAAAAAAAGAAAGAGTACCGAAATTTTGTTGGTGGAATAATAAAGGGAGAAAGTGGTGATATGAAAGATGCCAATATATAATAATAATAATAATAATAATAATAATAATAATAATAATACAAGAAGCAAGACAAGAAAATGATGTTTCACCAATAAAGAGTTTATTAATAAGGTCTTTAATGCTTTTTCCTTGTTACACCGTTTTGTAAAATTGCTCACCCACATATTTAATACTGTTAACGCTATTTCCATTCTTATCCTCGAAACAACTTTTGACGTGTTCTTCTTGCTTATGCTTGGGAAGTTGACTTAATTGATAATTACAAACTGGACAGTCGGTCATTGTAGAACTGTTGCTCAAGCGTCTACTATTAAGATTTGGCGAGGATCCTCCTCCCACAGAAATCAACGAAGTTGAAGTTGAACTGTTGGAAAGTTGACGCGAAGAACCAAAACATAAATCACACACACGAACATACTGTGTGGTTTGGTTTGTATTTAACCCGTTTCCTGTCGATGATTCAGAAAGTACTTGAGACGAGGGTAAGGGAACTCGGGCAGTTGAGCATCGATCACAGACAACTTGGCCACATTTTCTGAATTAGATTATTAATTAAATGAAATTAAATGAAATTAGATGAAATTAAATGGTTGTTGTTAATTATATCCTTATATAAAAAAAAAAAAGAGTGATTGATGCAAATTGATACAAGTCGTTACAAACCTGCAATGATGTTTTCTAACAAATAAACCAAATCTTTTACGACATCGACGACATTCATTAACGTCTTGATCACTTTCCCATTTACCAACAGGTGTAGTTAAAGAATGAGCCGGAACATTTGTTAGAGATAACTCAGCTTGAGGATGAACTCTAATCGGTGATACTGAACTTTCATAAACTGAGGGTTGAGTAGAAGTACTGATATCTTCACTTTGAACTACATTTGACCACGGACTTTCGATTGTTTCAAAGCTAGTAGTTGATGGTGCTTTAAAGGAAGTAATTGTATTGGAATTTGGTGTTTTAGGTCTCTCCAGTCTAATTGGAATAGGAGATGGAGGTTTTGAAATATTATTAGGAGTCATTGGAATTTCATGTAAACTTGGGCTAACCGGGACAGCTGGAGTCTCAATCCCTCCTCCCGATTCCATTGTTAATCGATATGGTTCAATTGTTGATTGATGTCCTTTTAGATAATCAGCATGTTGTACGAAACTATTCATGAGTGCTGTGGATTCTTGTTTTCTCTGTGGATTAATATCAGCTTAATTATTTTAAAAATATTAGAAAAATTATAATCTATAAAAAATAATTACTCACTATTGAAACCTAATATTGTTAACAGAGTAATATTACATTCCTCCCATAAAAAAAAAAAAAAAATAAGACTCACTTTTAATTCCATTTTGTAAAATGTTGATAGCTTCTTTATAATTTGCTAATTGATCATTTACAGAAAGTTCATTATGACCCTTTCCTTTTCCATTCTCTTGATCTCTCTTAATAATGGCTTCGGCTCTCATTAAATAATCAGGTTTATCATCATTATTCTCATTTACAAGTTGTAAAAATTGACCAACATTGCTACTAAATTCCATACAACGTTTCATTACTTTTACCCATCTTCTTCTCCTAACACCACTACCACCAATTATTGTGGGAATGTCTGACCATAAGTTATCGGGTTCATCAAAACTTTTAGCATATTGCCAACCTTGAGAATCTACACGTGGATAACCCAAGTCAATTTGCCATTCAGTTATCCAACACCAAGATTCTTTTGAGGATTTCGAAGAAATCACTGACATAGATGAAGATCCTGAGGGAAGTTGAACTTCATCTTTTGTAGAAGGTGTTCCACTAGGATGAAGAGACCAAGTTCCGCGAATATCATTTTTCAAAAGACTACCTGATGAATATTTGGGAGGTCCCCTAAGAGAAGACAATCCACCAAAGACAGATGAAGATCGTTGATTCTCATGAATAACAACAGGAACAGTTATATGGAAAGAATAAACATCATAAGGTTCATTCATCGCTGGTAAATGTACAAGATCACTAAATGAAGATGCTTTTTAAAAAATAAAAAAAAAAAAAATCAAAATAAAAAATTATTATTATATTACCATAATAATAATAATAATAATAATAATTAATTAATTAATTAAATTAATATTAATAACATTTATGTAATTTGGTGTGATTTATAAGACTTACGTTGTGGTAATGCTCTCTTCCCTTTCCACCAATCACGTTCAGATTTCTCCAATATTTCACAAATATAAAATTCTTGACTTATAGCGGCTACGTCATAAGCAGTTTCACCAAAACTATTTTTAATAAGAGGATTTGCTTGCCAACGCTGTAAAAGGCATTCTACAATATCTATGTGTCCTTTTGAAGCGGCATTCACTAAAAATTATAAAAAAAATAATTTAATAATTTAATAATTTTATAAATTTAATAATTTAATAATTTAATAATTTTATTGAAATTCCTTACTTAATGGTGTATGGCCTTTGGCACTTTTGACATCAACATCAGCCTCAGTGTGTTCTAATAAATATTTTACAATCTTTAAGTGACCACGGGCAGAAGCGTTATGCAAAGCGGTCCAACCATCATTATCTTCTTGATGAACATTTGCTTGTTTTGCCAAAAGAAACGCTACCACATGGTGATGACCGTTATAAGAGGCCTTTAACAAAGCAGTCTAATACATAAAATAAATATGGGAGTTATTGGATTGTGATAGACACTTATAACTTTTAATAAACTGAGATAAATTTATAAACGAATAAATTGAGAAAAATATATAATAAATAAATATATAAAATCTATATATATATGTACTTCTCCTGTTTGATCTTCAAGATCTACGATAGCACCAGCAGCATCGATTAACCATTTTACAATTTCTAAATGACCACGCGAAGCAGCGTAGTGTAAGGGAGTAAGTCCAGAAGATGAGCTTGCCTCGTTAGCCAATAAAAAAGAAGAGGTAGTTTCACCAGAACCTCGAGGATCTAGTAAAGCTTTCACTCTATCCATTTTTCCGACAGCGGTTGCATCGTGAATATCCAAATCACCTTCAGTCGAACCATTTGCGTCGGAATATTTTGTGGAGTTTGTAGAAGTTCCACGAAGGGATTGATTATTTGAGGGAAGCTTTACTTGCTTTATGTGTATGTTTCCATAATATCGATGACTTTCACCTGGAATAGGAGGATTTACGGAATCAGGGATTCTCATTGAAGGAATAGAAGATGTAAGAACCGGAGATTTCACCATTGTTTAATGGAGTGAGGAAAAAAGGATGATCACACGATATTAAATACACCATATGATTCACTCGTGTAACATAATCGGAAAAAATGATTTAAAATGATTGGTTATTTGAAAAATGAATAAAATGAATGGGATAAACGATAAACGAGAGTAAAACGCGTAAAGTTAAAAATCAAATCTTTAAAATGGAAGATACAGTTACACCTAACATTATTACTGAAGGTTTTACCTATTGTAATTCTTTTGAGAATTGAAGAAATTCATGGACTAAAGGAAACAATAATAATTTTTTATTTAGACGAGGCAGCTTTATATGATAGACAAATTAGGTTATGGGGTTTAGAAGCTCAACAACGGTTAGTCACAAGTTTTTGTATATATTTTATATATTTTTGAAATACATACACATATATATATATATATTTATACAATGATAATATTGTATAATATTGTGTACATATATTATAAATATATATAATATATATATATATATGAGATTCTTAATAATATATAATAATAATAATAATAATAATAATAATAACGATAATGATAATAATAATAATTCATAATTAAGAATTATCAAATCATCGATTTTAATATGTGGAATGAGAGGATTAAACAATGAAGTATGCAAAAATCTAGTTTTAGCTGGAATTGGGACAGTTACAATCATTGATCATAATGTGGTCACCGAAGAAGATTTAGGGGCACAATTTTTCGTGACAGCTGAAGATATTGGAAAAAATGTGTAATATCTAAATTATATATTGATCTAATTAATTAATTATTTAATTATTTATTTATTTTATTATTATTAAAAGATTTTGTTAAATACTTAAGGTTAGATATATATAATTCTATATTTTAGAGAGCACATTCTTCAGTTAATCGAGTTAATCAATTAAATCCTCGGGTTAAAGTTATTTCTGATTCAAGTAATTTAAACACCAAACCTGAAGAATTCTTTCAATCATTTGATTTAGTGTGTCTTACTGACGGAGATCCTGATACAATGGTAAAATATAATTAAATTATTATTAATAATTATTGATTATTGTTAATAATTATTATTTTATTAAATATTCTGCTAGTTACGAATTGATGAAATCTGCCGTAAATTTAATAAAAAATTTTATGCAGCAAGTACTTATGGTTATTATGGTTATATATTTTGTGATTTAAACCAACATGAATATATATTGTAAGTGTTCAAATTATTTAAAACATTTATAATAACATTCTTTATTCTTTATACGTTTGAAGAATTACAATAACTATAACTATATAAAAAAATAATTATAAGAATATTACTTGACATTTACTTAATGTTACTTAATTACAAGGGAACGAAAAATAAAAATTCCACATTCAGCAGAATTTCAAGTAAAAGTTTTAAAGCATAAAGAAGAATATTTCAGTTTACAAGAAGTTTTGTCTAAATCTGATTGGTCAAAAGTTAAAAGAATTAAAAAAGTCACACCATTATTATGGGCTATTCTAAGTATTTATTATATTTCATATAATATATTTTTTTATCTCTCTAATAATTAATAATTAATTAATTAATAATAATATTATTATTATAACTTTAGTTTTATGGAAATTTCAACAAGAAAAAAAACGATTGCCGGATGTTAATAATACGGAAGACATTGATAAACTAAATTCTGTAAAGGATTCATATTTACAATCATTAAATATCGTGAATACAACCATTTTGGATGAATTAATAGAGTAAGTGTTGGTTGGTTGTCAATTAATTAAAAAAAAAAAAATTAAAAAATTAAAAATATAAATATAAATATAAATTTTCAAAGATCAATTACAAGGAATTCAACAGCCGAAATAACGCCTGTGTGTGCAATTCTGGGTGGTATATTGGCTCAAGATATTTTAAATGCATTGTCGCGTCGAGGGTTACCGATTAAAAATTTCTATTTATTTAATGGATTTCAAGGTATTTTATTCTTAGTATATTTTAATATTTTATTGTTTGTTTTATCATATTTTATTATTAATTTCATTGTTATTTTATAATATTTTATTGTTATTTTATAATAATTTTATAATATTTTTATTATATATTTTTATTATATATTTTCATTATATATTTTTATTATATTATATATTTTTTATTATATTTTATTAGATAATGGAATTATTTATCCAATTGAACCAGGAAACAACATATTTTAAAATGAAATACCTCAATTGTTTAGCTGAATTAATTAATTCTTCTAATATTTGTCACCTATCAGTTTCTGTCTCAATTCCAATCTTTTAATTCTTATAAGAATAAATTTTAATAAATTTAAGAAATTCTTAATCTCTATTAATTTCTATTTAAAGTAATTTTTTTTTTTAATTTCTATGATCTCCAATATATAGAAAATATGCAATAAGCACAGTACAACACAAAAGATAATCTTTGCTTGCTTTTAATCATAATAGAAATAAATATAATGGATGGAGCACAGAAAAACAATGTAGTTTTCGAACTTGTGTTTCCTAAAAATATTTTTTTCTAATTTATATAATTTATATAAATATGAGCCTCCAATAATAATGATATTGATAACAGTAATAATTCTGTAATAAAAAATGAAGCACGACGCCAAAACCCATCAACCTTCAATAGTATCTTTAGATGCGGGAATATTACCCGAAAAATATTATGAAAAACTAATGAACCCTTCTAGATTTCAATTACGAAGAATTTTCTTACCACTTATTTATAAAGAAACAAATTTACTTGTAAAAATTCAAGTAAATATTATATTATTTTGAAATAATTTCAATTGATAAATTAATTAATTAATTAATTAATTAATTAATTAATTATTATTATTATTATTATTATTATTATTATTTTATTATTATTATTATGAATTAATATATTTTATGTATATATATTTATATATTTATATATTTTTAGAATAAATTTCAAAATCCATTACTTGATGGATTTTTCATTTATTCATCAATATTAGGAAATCCAATTTCTTTCGTGTTGAGTTTACCATTAGGTTTTTGGTTTGGTTATGGAGAATTTGCAAGAGGGTAAATAATTATAATAATTATAATGATTTTATATATTAATAATTATGTGTATATCATTATCATATCTTTATTTATTTCTTTATTATATCTTTCTTATTCCTTTCTTATTTATTTGTTATTTTATTTATTATTTCTTTAGTTTTGCGTTCATTTTATCAACGGGTGTTATTTTGTCGGGATTTGTAAAGGTATTTTTAATCACAATTGAAATTGATATAATTGATTGTAATTGATTATAATTGATTGAACTATAATTGATATATAAATTATTAGGATTTCCTTTGTTTACCAAGACCAATATCACCACCAGTTAAACGATTAATAAATTCATATTTTCGATTTGAATATGGATTTCCATCAACTCATTCCACAAATTCCGTCTCAATTGCATTATTAATTCTCACTCATCTGCTTACAATGGATAATAACATGACTTTATGGATGAAATATCTTTATTTTATGGGACTTTTCTTTTATTCTGCAAGTATTGTTTGTGGAAGAATTTATTGTGGAATGCATAGTTTTTGTGGTAAATTATTAAATATTCACCTTATTTTATTCTCTTTATTTTATTCTATTTATTTATTCTCTTTATTTTATTCTCTTTATTTTATTCTCTTTATTTTATTTATTCACCTTATTTTATTTATTCACTCTCCTTATTTATTAAAGGAATTGAATTAATATTTTATGGTTAATTATTAGATGTTATCGCAGGAACGATTATTGGAATATTAATTTGGTGGTTTCAAGTAACTTATCAAAAACATCTTGATAATATTATTTTAAGTGATGATTGGTTTGGTATGTTTTTATTATAATTTATCAAATAAGCATTTTTAATTATAATTTATTAATTATCTTTGGTAATTTTTTAGTTCCAGCTGGTGCAATTATTGGTTCAATTTCATTAATTTATTTATTTCCTGAACCTGTTGACAAATGTCCTTGTATAGAAGATTGGTACCTTTTTTTTTAAAAAAATTTTTTATATTTATATATTTATATATAAAGATCATCTTTAATTCTTTTCCTTTTTAGTATTTCATGTATAGGTGTGATTATTGGTGTCACTGTTGGTAGTTGGAGATTTGGCAATTCAAATTATAGTTTACCAAATGGAAATGTTCCATATGATTATAATAAAATTGGTATCTTTTTGAGTTTGGTTAGAGTAATTTTTGGTAAATGATGATTTTTATTTTTATTTGTTTTTATTTATTTATTTTAATAATTAATTAATTATTTATTTTTTATTTAGTTATTTTTTATTTATTTACTTTATTTACTTTATTTATTTATCTATTTATTTATTTACTTTATTTACTTTATTTATTTTGTCAATTTAATTTAATTCAACAGGACTATTAATAATTTTTACTTTTAGAACAGTAATGAAAAAATTCTTATATACGATTTTAAAACCAATTTATACTTTTAAATATCAGGAAAGTAATTTATCGATAAAGTAAGTATTATTTTCGATATTATTTAATTATTTTTAATTATTTAAAGATATTATTTTATAATTTAATTTATTTTTAAATTTCAGAAATTCAATAATTGGAATTCACGAAGACAATAATTTATCATTAAATACTAATACAACTAATACATCAATCGAATCCTTTAATAATAATGGTTCGGCTAAACATGTGACTTTAATAAAACCATCCAATAAAATTAATAATAATTATAATCGTTCCAAGTTTAACATTGATACTACAGTAAAACTTCTTGTTTATTCTGGTAGGTTATTTAATATATATATATTTATTTATTTATTTATTTATTTATTTATTTAATATTTAATTTAATTTAATTATTTTATTTATTTAATAAGTAAATAATAATTAATTAATCATTATTTATTGATTAATATTTTATTAAGGTATTGCGTGGTTAGCCACAGATGGAATTCCTGTATTATTTGAAATACTTGGAATGAGTTATGAAAAAGTTTGATATTTTATTGATAGATATATTCTAATTTAGTGTAATGTATATAATAATTTAATACTTTAATGATGAATATTTATATGAAAAATTAATAAATTCATTTTTTTTTAAAAAAAATTTATATTATAATTATTATTTGTGTGTGTGAATAATTATTTAATCATTCATAGTTGTTTATAGACACTATTCCCAAATTTGTATATTTATTGATTTTATTGAAATTATTGAAATCATTGATATTATTGACATTATTAACATTATTAATATTATTTGATATCACTGTTTAAATTCTACGTCACCTTTTCTTAAACCCATACTTTTTCCGTTCATAAAATAGATCCGTCTTTGATGATCCAAGATTTACGATCTTTGGGCATCCATCTCTCTAAAATAATTAATTATTATTGATTGATAATTAATTAATTAATTAATTATTGTTGATAAACTTACATCTTTTTCTTGTAAAACACATTCTTTACAATAATAAGCATCTGAAACTCCGGGTGCCCCACAAATTACGCATCGACCTTGATATGATCCATAATTACATTCATCACAAATTCTATCATTCATAATACAAGTATAAATATTATTCTTATAATTATTCTTATATAATTATTATATAATTATTATTATAGCTTACCGAACAAGGGTGTCTGGTCTTACATATCTACATATATATATATATATATATTAAAAATGTTATTGTTTTCTTTTTTTTTGAATATCTGACAATTTAAGTTAATCAATGCAAAATATATTTACGAATCACAAATCACACATTTTCCATCACATTTTTCACATAAACGACCGATAGCTATTAATAAAGTAAATATTATGGAAGGGGTGTGAATGAAGAGTTTTGAATGGAGGGGTGAGTTTAAAGAGAAGAAAAAAAAATTTTTAATAGATTATGGCTTACCTATGCCTGGTTGCTTGCGGCACATAATAAGATCTGGATGATGTTTAGCCATTTCTAAATAAAATTATTGGTAAAAACTATTGCTTTAAATGTAAATGCAAATAATGTAAAGTAAATGAACTTATGAAATTATTGGATTAAAGTGTGTTTGTTAACGATAATGAGAGATTTGCGAGGGTGTTCTATTTTTTTTTATATATGGAGGATTGTACAATGTAAACAGTCAGTTTCCTTTTATAAAAAAAAAATAATTACTTGTTATGGTTAGTTTTGTTGTTTCATTGTTCTAGTCATTATAGTCATTATTTTTTATTTTTATTGTATGAAAATCACAAAATAAATTAACTCGAGAAGATAACAATTATATTTAATATTGAATATTTGAATAATAGAGAGAGATAGAACTCAAATTTGGCGTCATGCCCAAAATTTCACAAGAGATAACTAAGGTAATTAATCAATATATGTAAACATGATATGATAGAAATTTATCTAGACAAATATGTAAAATTGCATTGTTTCCAATTTTTGCAGTAAAAAAATTGTTAAATATGTTCGCTTTTAATTAATGAGATGATAATCAAAAGCTCAGTAAAGATATGAAAAAGAGGTAAAAATATTTTTTATTTATTTATTATTTACTGTAACTGATATTATCTCAAAACAAATATTTAATAAAAAATCAATTATTCTAATTTCTTTGAATGTTTATTTGTACGAAACAGACTTATTGCATCTCTAATAAAGTTCTTTTCTTGCCAATATCTAAAATAATAATAATAATAATAATAATAATAATAATAATAATAAAATAAATAAAATAAAAAATAAAAAAAAATAAATAAAAAATAGAAAAAAAAAATGAAAAATAAAAAATAAAAATAAATAAATCACATAAAATACATATACATACGTTATACCAGAAACAAAAACAGCACAAAAAATTCCAATTCCAATATGTTTTATTTTAGCATCTAATGTATTCCATCCAATATATTGATTTGACCAAAAAGTAATTCCCCAACTAATCATAAAAGAAATCCAAATCAATGGTTTTGGAGTAAGATTTGAAATAATTAACATCTGTTGTAATTCTTCAAGATCCTTTTTTGAAGCACCTCGATCTTTTAAAAAATAAGTTTTAATGAATTTCCAACTCCATAAAATACGTGTTAGTAAATTTAAAGCATTTGCAGCAACCAGTCCTATCGCACCAGCTGATAATATTTTCATAAAAATTATTCCATTTCCAACAAATCCAGCTGAAAAAGCTATTAACCAATAATTTAATGTATTAAGTGTTTCTTTTGTTGCAACAGCAGCTACAAATGCTTCAGTTATACCATTAATTCCCATAATTGGAACATATAAACAATAAAATGATAAAGCCAATGGAGCAGGTGATTGTGACCACATTGACCCTACTAAAATATCTATCAAAGCTCCAGTATAATTTGTTGCAAGTCCAATAAAAATCAATCCAAGTAAAATATGAAATTTGATTAAAGTTGTTAATATTTTAAGAGACATGACCAATGAAGTTTTTTTTGCTGGCGTCATGATTAATTTGGAATTTTTATCAACATCAACATCAACAACATCATCACGTTTATCATCATCACGTTTGTCAACATCTGCCAAGAGTTTTGAAAATAATGTTCTACCTGTTTCTTCAAGAGGTTGAAATAAGATACGAACAATCAATGAACCTAATAAAAAAAAAAAAAGTAGTAGAGAATTAATGAATGAATCTTTAAATTATTAAAAGTTATTAAATAGAATCTTCCAATTATTTTTAAATAGAACCTTAAATTTTAATTTAATTTAATTTTAATTTAATTTAATTTAATTTAATTTAATTAATTGATTTAATTCACCATAATTTACAACAAATGCATATATTCCTTGATCTTCGGGATTACTCAACCATGTAATTAGCATTTTGTCACCTTCAGTTAATATATGTTTTAATAATGATTGTTTCGTAAAAGTTTTAGCAAGATTGAAATAATATGGATCGAACCAAAATTCTTTTTTTCTTAAAAATTATTAATAAAATAAATAAATAAACAAATAAATAAATAAAATAAAATAAATCAAATAAATTAATTAAATAAATTAAATAAAATAGATAAAATAAAATAAAATAATTAATAATTATCTAATTATCGAGAAAAAAAAATGATAAAAAATGATAAAATGCAAATTTTTAATTAATTACCTTTCATCTTGAAGTTTTCGTGGAATCAATAAACCAATATTCCAATAATATAAAAAGTATCCAATATATCCGACCATCAATATAAGTGTATAAGTAAATTGTGCAATTGCAAATGCTAATATTCCATATTTATTATCTTCATTATCATTATCAATTTTATGTACACCCAAAATTGTTAAACCAAGTGTAATTAAACAACGAACAATTACACCAATTCCTTCACATCCAACTCGCAATTTATAAATCAAATTATTCATAGCTATTATATATAATGGTTCAATAAGAAGTTCTCCAAAAGCAGCTAAACCATATAAAATTACTGAAGTTATAAAATATGGTGTAGCGAATGTCTCTTCTGTAGCATAAAATATTTGAAATGCACAGACAAGAAAAGTTATAATTATTCCAATGGGGATTGGAATATATGATAAATTTATGATCTTTTGCATGGAACCTTTTCTAGAATTTACTAAAACTACCTTTTCCCCTGAAGAAGAATTTGAAGAACTTTCATTTTTTATATCATCATCACCATTATTAATCACTGTATTTCCACTTCTCAACAGTGCACAACGAAAACCTTCACGGGATAAAAATACTATTGTTAATAATAATAATTCAAGTTGAACAGAAGCAATTCCAAATGTAGCTGGATTGGTGAATCTTAACACGATTTGATGTAAAATAAAAGTTGAAAGTCTACTGATCAATTGAAGTAAGACAAGTGAGGAAGCCCCAGAAACTGAAGAAGATAATATGTGTTCAACATCTTTAGACCCATCTTCTTCCTCAATTATAATATCATTATTTTGAGGTTTCTCTCTTAATACTCTTTGCTTTATAGTTGACATTTTATCTATTAATTTAATATTATTAATCTATTATTATTTAAAGAGTTGAATTCATTATTTTTTAAAATTCGATTTTTTCCTATTTTTTCCTACAACGTTGGGTGGAAATAATACATCATTTAAATACAAAAAATATAAAGTAGTACCAGAAAATAATCTAGCCCTGTTAGTGTCATTTATGAATTACATAATGATGATACGTACTCACTAATTACACAAATGACAACATAAATATTTCAATAACTTTTCAATAACTTTGTTAGATCTTTCCATTGGAAGTTTCTAAACGGAAGGCAAGTTTAATATCATTATATTTAAATTTGTATCAAATTATAAATTTATATTTCAATATAAGGATCGCCCACAGCAAAAAGGGGTTTCTGGTTAATTATTCGATTTTGAGAAAAATCGGGTTTAAATTACGTAACGAAAATTTACACTTTTTATAATGAGCAAGCGATAAATTTTTAATTTAAAAATAATCATAATACTTCTAATATAAAATATGTAAACTTAAATAACTTTATTTGCGCTTTCATTATCGAAATAAATATTTGTTTATTAATATTTTAAAAAAATGCAACGGTTTTTTTACAAAAAAGAGGTTAAAAAATAAATATATTTGAACGGAAAAATACATTTTTCAATAAGTTGAGATTATATAATCTCTTCTACACATTATACACAAATACTGAATTGCCGAGAAAAAGGCAATAAAGCATTTGTTAATTGAGAAATTGAGAACGCACGACAAGAGTATATTAAAGGAATTGTAGTTGCACCTGAAGACCCACTATTATGGTCAAACCACGCACATACTTTTTTATTAAACCGGATATCCTGAACTTGGGATAGCTGATGCCATTAATGCCCTCTCTCTCATTGAACCAAAGATCATTAGTGGCAAATATGATGATGCTGATCTGGAATTACTTTGTAAAAGTGGATAGAGAAAAGCGGAGGAATTGGCCAAGAGTAATGAATATCGGTTAATATTGTTAAAATATTGCAGTATTATATATTATTTTTTGGAAGAAAAAAAAAAGACTAATATTAAAATTAGAGATTCTTCAACGACAACCAGTACAAATTCTAACCACGTAACTACGTTTACAACAATTACGACAGCGCCAATTACAAATGTATCAAGTACCTGAAAAAAACAATAACTAATAATTCGTTAACTTTGGAGAACTCGTAAAAAAATTTATGTTAATATGTAGTGATAATGCGTTTTTTTCTTTCTTTAGCTGGTCGTTTTAATAATGTGTTTATTGTATATAAATATCTTAAATCGAAAACAGAAATATTTTAAATAAAAGCAAAAAAAAAAAATTATTTAATACTTTAAAAAATAAATAATAATTATTTCTTTGACAAAACTTGAAAATTCAATTCCTGATTTTTCAGATTGCCACATAAATTTAACAATAAAATATTCTAGATTATAATATTATGTAAAATAATTATAAAGACATATTAAAAAATATCTAAAAATATTTAAAAATTGGATACATATAATTCAGATACAACTAAATAAAAGTAAAAATAAATTAATACTTTTTTAATTACAAAAAAAAATAAAAATAAAATAGAATTGATACTTACCAATACTTAAAGCGGAAGTAGATTTTGTTAATTTTTCAAGATCTTTTTCAAAAATTTCATCATTTTTAGGTTTCGGAAGATTTGAATAATCGAGAAGTCTACTAGTATAAATTGCTCCTGGATGGGTTTCATAATTCATTGGAGTTATTGGAATTGGAGTTGTTGATTTTGACTTGTTTCCTCCAATCAGATTCAAAAATCTCCTCTTTTTTTATATTAAATCCCCTCCTTTTTAAATTTTTGGATAATTTTTTAGAATCTTCTATTTAAATTGTAATTTCATTAGTCATTTTTAATCAAAATTACTATTACTAAAATTATTTTTTAAATAATCTCTTAAATTTCCACCATCCATATATTCTAAAACCATAATATATTCGTTTGTTTCTGGATCTTGTGTAATTCCATGAATTCAAATTGATGCATATTGACTCCTTGCTTTTAAGTGAATTGCTATCTGAATATGAACAATATTTATTTTTAATTTAATAATAAAAATTAATATAATATATATATATTTTTAAAAAAAAACAATTTTACATATCTGAAATTAATAAAATATTTTACCTCATTTAAAAAGTCTTCATTTAAATTATTATCAAACTTTTTTAAAGCTACATTCTTTTGACTCCTTTTCCACTGTTGATACTTAACATCCCATTCTTTAATTTTTCCAATCCACTTAGTTTTATGAATTGTTTCAAATCACCCTTTGCTATTTCTTTAATATCTTCTAATCTATCATAAGGTATCCATTCTGTTACTTTATACTTATTTGCATTTATTTGAGTACGTTGAATAATCTTATCTATTTTGTTAGTTCTACTTGTCCATTTATCAAAATCATTTTGGAAATGTTTCGAGTTACATGGTTTGCACCAACATTTATTGTCAATAAATTCTTGATTGTATTCTTTGCAATTATTAGATATTATTTTTTGTTCACGTATAGTATATGAGCAATTATTAGATAACATGTGAGGCAAAAATTTGTTTCTTTTAAAAATGATTCGTTATATAACTCTGAAGTCACGCTTAGGCATTGAAATTTATTGAACAAAAAATCACATTTGATATTATTGGTCTAGAAAATTATTGCTCATGAGAACTACAAAATAAAATAACACAAGATTTTTTGGAACACTTTATCGTTGTACATTTACGTTTGGACTAAACTAATTGATAATATTTTCAACAATTTATTTTATAAATAATACTTGCACTAAGCTATTGATTTGAAATTAACTTTTGCTTTATCATCCTATTTATGTGTTATGTATGTCAATTTTAGCTTGACCACCTCCTATTATTTCTTCTTATTTTCAAATTATTCGTAGGTGTAAAACACAATATTATATATAGATAAATATTTTATTATTATGAAAAAAGTATTATTATTATTATTTATTAATATTAGATAATAATCAATCAATAATCGAAGTTCTTCTAATAGTGATGTTGATATATCTTCATTTTCTAAAGTTGAATTATTATGTGATGATGCTATTAATATTATTATTGCTTTAATAATTATATCATTTATATTACTATTATTGGTGGCGAGTGGTTGTTAATTTCTTTAAGAGTTCTTTAATTTCATTTTTTGTCTTTTCTAAACATTAAATGCCTATGAAGCTGATAATAATTATGTTGATTATTATTATTATCTATTATTTGACGAATCTCTAATTTCAATATTAGTTTGTAATATTGTATATATAATTACCATTACGCTACAGTATCAATTTGACTAGCGAATAATAAATCACAATTTTATAAGCTCATAACATATAGCCAGTTGTTTGAAATTCAATGTGTGGAATGTGCGCTAGCACAAAATTTGAAAACTCCGCACATAAAAAAAGGCATCCGCACAGAATTCTAAATTTTGGGATTTAAAATTTGAATTTCAAACACTGCAAATAACATATAGTGCAAATAAATTTCGTAATAAATTTTTAACTAGTCTAGTTTAAGACACTTTTAAAATGGAGATCTGTAGTTCTAGACACGTGGTTGAAAAATTTAGTTGCGCACATTTAAATTACATGCACCTGTTTTTTAAATATTCCTTAGATTTTTATGTATTGTATTAAGTTATCTAACCGATTGATTCTTATTGTTATTATTTATTCTTATTCCCATAATTCATTGTATGAAAAAAATGACCATCTATCAAATGATTTTACTTAAAGTTGATTATTTATCCTTTTCCAACATATTTTCTTCTAATTTTGAAGCAGTATTAATGTGTGCTAAAAGTTTAGCCCAAAAATCTTTTATGTTGAATTATACCTTTTATTTGTTCTTCTAAAATAACTCAATTTCACTATTTCAAATTCTTGAAAAAAATCTCATTGAACTATTTGTTTCGGTATCTTTATTTCGATCTAATAATTTTCAACTGCTTCTTATAATATCATTTATTCCTTCTACATCAAGAACTTTTTCACCCATTTTTTCTAACTAGCTAATTTAAGTTATCCCTTTTCAAAAATTCGTTCTTCAACGGAAAATTGTATTACGAATCGAAACATTTTAACAGAATAAAAAAAAAATAAAAATAATTATTAATAACAAGAGCATATGAATAAGAATATGAGAGAGGATAAACATAAGATATAATTTATTACCTTGGTTTGATCAATTCTATGCTATGTACACGACTTAAAGTTTGAAGATCTTGGATGGATCAGCCAAATAATAATAATAAATAATAATTAATAATTAATAATTAATTTACATTAAATAGTTTAAATAATTTAAATTGCACTTTCACTTACTCAAATTTAACCTGCTCGAGTAGAAATAAAAATATGAAAATATTTGAACCGGGCTCTTGAAGTGCTGAAATATTTTTTTTGTCTCGCTTCATGTGAAGTTGAACCATCCTAAATTAATACTAAACATAATAAACATAAATAAACATAAATAAATAAAATAAAATATGAATATATAAATATAATTATAATTATAATTACAAGTTTACCATTATCTTCACAAACTTCTAATGTCAATAAAACTGGGAAAATATGTAAACTTTATGCTCAGTTTCAATATATCCTTTAAAAGAATAAGTTTTCACTTGATGCAACCAATATTTTACATCATTCTTTGTCATTAAGATATTCTTCTTCTTCTAGATTAATTAATGAGGATGTAACGTAGTGTCATTAATATGCAAAAAAAAATGACAATTTTAAAAATCACGTTATCTCGATGTATTTTATATCATTTTAAAGCCGAAAATCGGCAGATTTTATTAAAAAAATTAATATGATATTCATTCACCATTTTTTTCAATAACCTCTTTACAACGTTGTGGCATTGAATTTACAAGATTAATTAGAACACTATTTGGAATTTTTTCCCATTCTTCACCCAAAAACTTTATAATTCGGTAATATTTTTTGGTTTACGTAACTCCGCGTTCCTCTTAACGATTGCCCAAAGATTTTCAATAGGATTGAGGTCCAGACTATTGGAAGGCCAATCCATAACTTTCCGAACATTATTATTAAGAAATTCTTTAGCAATACGACTGGTGTACTTCGGGTCATTATCTTGTTGCAGCCGCCATCGTCCTTTTAACATTCTATTAACTTCCGGGAGATGTTTTTCTAAGATTTCTATATAAAATTTTCCATCCATTATACGTTTAAAACAGAAAAGACTTGTTTTTCTTTTTACACAAACCCCCCACGCAAAAATTTTAGTTCGTTCCTTTTGCATACGACGAACCGGTCTTGCTCCTTCGAACCAGTGTTTAATTGTATTGCGGAATAGTTGAAAAGATGTTTCGTCACTAAAAAGTGTTTTTTTTCCAATCATCATCTTTACATTTTTGTGCCCATTCGACACGTTTTTCTTTATGAGCAGATGTGAGCATTGGTGTACTAAGAGGAAGAGAATTCCGGCAACCAAGGTTGGCCAAATGTCTTGAAACTGTTGACCGGGAGACATTTATTCCAATATCTTCTAATTTAGAAGCAAGATCCCCCGCGGAAATTGATTGTTGCCTTCGAACATACTGCCCAAGAGCACGAGATGCCGCCGGCGTTATTTTTTTGATACCTCCATTATTCCCTTTATGCTTGACGTCGCCAGTTTCTTTTATTTTATTTTTTTTAGGTTTCTATAGATAGTTAAGTGTAATTTTTGTCAATTTGTATATTTCGGCAGCTTTAGTTATTCCTTGCCTCCGGAAATGTAATATGGTTTGTCGTTGGGTTTCTTGCTTGGAAGGTGCCATTTCAACGCTTGTAAAAATATAATTTTTATTATCACAGG